GCCAATCAAAAGAAGTAAGAGAACAGTGTCATACCCAATCAAAAGAAGTAAGAGAACAGTGTCCGAGAACAACTGTGTATAGAAAGCGATAATTCACTCTTACATGTAAATTTCAACTTCAGAAAACGAAGAAAAAAAATCCACTGCTTTCAAAAGCATGACAAGATAAATACCGGAAAATTGGTTATCGAAGTAGTCCAGTGCGACGAAAAAAGGAGTGGTAAAAATAAATGCTTGAAGTGTTTTACTTGCAAAGCGCGCATCTCTTTCGCGTTCAAGTTTCTTCAATTTTCAATAAGTTGAAAGCAATGACTATATCAAATCTGGCCCAGAGAGCCGGGCTTCATTCCTTTGCGCAGAAAAAAATTTTAACTATTTAATTACCTATTTATGGAGCTTGACATCTTATATCTGTATGACTATAAAAGGAATCCTTCTCTATGACTTACATGTCACCAAAGTTAGCGCCACAGAATGTGGCCTCCATGGTAAAGCTGTTCGTGATTCCCATTTGGCGCCACATAACCACACGCGCTGTTGACTCCTTGCACTTGCGCACTCGGAATTTACAACCACTGAACGAGAACTTGTCGGGAGCCTGGAAGAGAAAAATATAATCGTTTGCTGCCTGGGGCTCGGTTCTCTTAAGTCCCTTTGACTCGAAAATCTAAATTAAAGGAGAAGTCAGGGTGCGGGTTCAACCTCGTTCCCAGGGTCTCTCATTTTTCCGCCCCCTCTCGCCTCATGGGGTGGGAAGATAAGAGACCCTGAGAACGAGGTTGTTGCGAGTCTTGGCTCAGAAACAAGTCCAGTTAAGTACTTTTCCTGACATCTTTCTTTTACAGATTTCAACGCTCTTAAAACCTAGATCTCAAAAGTAAACATGGCAAAGATAAAAACAACTTTTCGAGGACAGCAAGTAGTACAACTTCCGAGAAACGGCTCCAACACTTAAAATTCCTCCCCTTAGTTGTAAAGTAGAAGCCTAATAATTGAAATGAAGTTGTGTGGTGTAACTTTCAAATGCTTTATTGCGAGGTGTTTCGTCTACATTTCTAGCATTTTAAAATTATTATTACTTTTTATTTTATTTGATGCAGAGGTAATTACTAACCTTTTGCGACATCATCCAAGGAAAAAGCCGCTCCTCAACAAAGTCACTCATCGATCCCATTTTGGGATCTGCCGTGCAGCCGTACATGAAAACGTTTGGCTTGCGGCTATGTCCATGGAGATCACAGTAAATGATAACCTGGAAAGAAACGTTTTGTTTTTTTTTTTTAAGCTATGCTTTGGACTCCAGTCGTCTGAACCGATCTGGAAGAGGGAGAAAGCAACACATGGCCTTTCCCTACATCCAGGCAATTCGAAAAGCCCCAAAAATCCAAAACAAAATTTATCTTTCAAATCGTTGCTCTTTATCCCCACTGTATCAACGAATGCTTTTCATTCAACCAATTTATTTTCAACTTCGTTCCCAGGGCCTTTTCCCTTAGTTGGGGGTGGAGTTGTGGGGTGGAGCCAACTAAGGGAAAAGGCCCTGGGAACGAGGATCATTTATTTTTTGCCTTTTTCACGTACTCATTTTCCCAACAATAGCCTTGCTCGATCTTTCTGTATTCATAAACCATGAAAAACCCACAATTCCTCTTTTTGCTCTACGAAGGGCTAACGCTCGGAAAGTCAGCTCTAGAAACTCTTTAAGGTGGCTAATTTACATTACCAACTCAGTTGATAAAACCACGTTACATATCTCAAAACTTCCTTTTACCTGATGGTCCTTTTTGAATGACTCCAGCATATTCTTCATGTGCCAAACAGTTGGAAAGCTCTCCTGTAGAGTAAGAAAGTCAATAGTTAAGAGTTTTCTTTACAAGCCGCTAACATCCACTTTTTGAAGAGTAGCATACCACAGTGTGTAAAACTAAAGCTTAGGTCCAGTGACTTGTTATTGTTCAAACGCAAAGAGGAATTTTGGAGGAAAAAAGTAGACACTTGCTGTAGGCGACTATATACTGCCAATTACTGCGGGCCCTAGTACCCGCCCATCCTACCCCAGGGGAGGACATCCACCACACAGTGATCTCGTGCGTGGGAAATTAACGTCTCCAACCCCAACCCTGCAGGAGACGGGACCTACGGTTTATTCGTCCTTATCCGAGAAGCCTAGAATGTCTATCCATTTCCTGATATTATAGAAAGGTAGCACATTCTCCTCAGTAATTTTAAGACCTTGAGTGTTGGTCCAGCCGGGGCTCGAACCCTCGATCCCCCGCTCAACAGTCCGGCGCTCTATCCATTGAGCTAACCGGGAGGCGGTTATCCGCTGGATAGCGATTTATCGGTTGGACACCGTCATCCGCCCTTTCTACAATTGGGCCCAGTTGTCTCAATCAAAGTGATACCCAGCCATTGGAGGTATAAGTATGTAACCAATTTGTAATAACAAGCAATTACCTTCTTGGGATCTTTGTAAGTCCTGTTCAAGTCTCTGGCGGCTAGGTTCGTTCTGTAGTTACCAACAATTACGCCATCTGGGTTCAGCATTGGCACTAGCTTGAACACGAATTTTCGACGAAGTTTCTGTACACAGAAAATGAAAATGAAAATGAAATGTAAATTATTTTAAAGGCACTTTTGTCTTATAGGAGGGTCTTCTAGGGATGGCTTTTATGTCAAGCATAAATAAGTGTTCATATAGTTGGTTTACTTTCCTGCACTCTTTTTGAGGGAAACTGGAAACTACTTATACCTCTGCAATATGATGACCGCTGGTTAAGAAGTCCAGCATGCCTTTCATCATCCAACTAGCGTTCGTCTCTCCCGGATGTACCCTGGCACTCACAACTACACCAAGCTTCTCGCTTTCTGGAACTGCAAAAGAAAAACATTTTTGTGCTGAGCTACAGCCCGAGTGACGTAACCACTGTCTCTCTTCCAACTTGAGAATTATTTCTAAAGAACGAATACAAACTGGCGACATACTTCTTTAAGTAAGCTTAGCGTCTTTAACAATGCAAAGATTATGTCAAAACCGTTTCCAGGGTCCTCTCCTTTAGGTACGAAAAAGAGAGGAGCTTGGGAACGACGAACGGGCTGTGTATATGACATCAATCGTTCTTAGCCCCAACAGATTATAGCCCACGAAGATAATTTTCGTGGCTATTGGTTTAAAGAAATAAAGCATTTGAACTGAACTGCATAGCGTAATAGTAACATCGTTTTAAGAAAAAAACAATTATGGACAATGCTATCCTTACAAAAGACCGTGTTGAGATTACCTTGAGAGGATGTCACAGTCAGGACATTGCAATTGTTTCCAGCCATAGTTTTACACAGCACCTGTGAGAAGTGACGAGAGGGGATCTTTTTTAACATTTTACACCTTAACATCGGTATGCACATTCATCACGCTGTTCTCCATAAATTTTCTTAAGGCACCAACCAAGAGAATTTGTTTAACAATCAAGACCTTTTTTTAGTTAGTGATCATCTCCTTTATTCTTGTATTCTAAATGAGAGATTCAGGGATAATATTTGTAAGAAGAGATTAGATGATAGTCACTCTTGGGGCTCTTAGGATTAACGATGCGAAACTTGACGAAAAAAAAAAAAAATTCTGACCAAAGTCAAAACTAGAGAGAAACGAAGATGATTTATCCTTTAGACACTACATCTGTACGTAGATTATCCATACTGTTCCCTATGTATTTCCAATGGTGCTGACTACAAGAATTTTGAACTATCAGTTGCTTCGTTATTCTCATGACCAAAATGTTTGAGTCAAAAGTTATACTGCAAGGAAAAATCAGATGTTGGTCACTCTTAGATAAAGCGGAATATTGAGACGGATTTCAAGTGAAGAACTTGAAAACTTGGCTTCAGTTTTTAGAAGATGGAGAAAAAATGACATATGAAGTGGCGTCGTGCGGAATTCTGGAAGTTCTACTCATCGTGCGCCTCAATCCCAGAATTCCGCGCGGTGCGCTAACATCAATCTCTTTTTTAAAACTGATTTTTTTAACTCGTGCGATACACTTCGCCGAAAAGGAGGGACTGCTCCTAGTCTCTGACATTCTCTCTCGGGATACCTCTTTAAAAAGTTTATTTACCTCTTTCTGAACATGTTGAGAAGTCTTCGGATTATGGATGATGGATCGTAGGTACAGTTCCAAGTCAGTGTAGGTGTACGGATAACAATGAGCCAGGTAACATGTGTCATCCTCATGAGGAAACTCCTAAATAAAATTATAACATAACCAAAGTATAAAGCGCGCGCTCTGATTGATCAATTCAGCGTCCACCATTTGCCCATGGGCATACGCTGCTTACATGAGCAAATGTCAAGACTAGTTTGGGCGCGCTTGTTTTTTCTGGTCACGTAAGATTTTAGCGTTAAATAAAAGGGAACTCTTTTGCTACAATGTATCAATGTTATTTTATAAAAAAAAAAATCACCACAGTGTACACTATTGAGTCAAGGATCCACTTGGAAAGTTTGCCAAGCACTCAAGAAGCTAGAGTCGCTCTCGGCTATCGCCTCGCGCGACTCTTACGCTTCTTGAGTGCTTAGCAACCTCCCGCGTGCATCCATAACTCAAAAAAAATTGACTCATAGATTCAATTTTACGTAAATAATAAGGAAATACGATAGTTTTCCTATCAAATCTGGACACCATAGCAGAGATCGTTAAAACTAGAAAACAAGGCAAAGATTTACCATGTGAAAAGTAAGAGTGAAGTAGACATATTCCCGCTGAAGCAGAGGATTCTTATATGTTGAAGTCTTGTAATAACTAATATGTGAACCGACTCTTTTCCAACCCAGACCTCTCGCTTTAGCATCACGCTCAGAGTACATCAGCGGTTTCATTCCTAGAACGAGAAATACACGTCACGAGCTACCCAACAGGAGTAGCGATTTCATTGAATTTATTAAAAATAAAACATTGCTATTCCTTGTGGATCTCACTACTGCAGAATCCAAGAACACAAAACTGATAAGTTCTAAATAATTCAAAGCGGAGTGCGCGCAGCGGAACACTATAGCATAGAGAATATATGACATTATTAAAAACTGGATAATTGGATAATGCAGTTCAAGACTTTTTATTGGCTTAGCCATTATGGTGCATGAGCCAATATACCACAATCTAATATCTGTACATTGTAATATCCGGTTTCTTCTTACAAAATAAAGTCGAGAAGATTTGTCTAATATCTTGGGGGCGTTTTTTTTTAATAAAACAATTATTCCACTCGCGCTTGTTAGATATGAGATGATTATAGCCAACGAGGCGCGTAGCCCCTCGTTGGCTATCTATCATCTCATATCCAACGCGCGCTCGTGGAATAATTGTTAATTATACGAAAGCGAAAAAATTTGGTCATAACGTGATTGACGGCACGTGCATCTGGAGCAAGGTCACTGTACTACGAGTAAAGGCGAAAGAGATGGTATAGTACTTTTACATGAACAACTTAGTTTGCAGAAAAGAAACTTTTTAAATTTTTAGAAGGTGACGATCCGTTAAATATTAATAGGTCCAAAAGTTCCCAAATGGAGGAGTTTCCGAAACCCATCCAATTATCGCCTCCCTCCAATAGGGCTCGACGCTGTTGATCGGACTTGCAGAGAAAGTAAAATTCCGAGGTTCGCTTTCAAGCTTGGCTAAATCTAATCTTTTTTATAGAATAAGATTAAAAAAATCCGAAATATGGAGAAAATTCTCTGATGACTAAAACCCACCGTAATTGTATAAACTGTCTTTTTTCAGCAAATTGATGATGTTAAACTTGTAAGTGGTGCCAGGAACCATGTCTTGGACACGGAAATAATACCTATTAGGCAAAAGAGAAGAAAGATTTTAAGTACTTTATTTTCTTTTCCTTTCAGCCAACTACGTTGTGATTGTAACTTGATTACATTTATACGTGATTTCGATAACAAATTGATAAAACTCTCTTACTTACCACTGCGTGTGTCGTTTGGTGTACAAATCACAACTGAGAATCAGATCATATTCATAACTTCCTCTGAAAGACAGAGATGACAACGATATCAAATCGTGATCATAGCGGTATCAAAAAGGCCCGGGGGGATACTCCCTTATAAGGGCTTAATGGGGACGTGCAGCCAGCCAGGGTATGTTTTTCGAAATTTTTGTCTTAAACAGGGTATCGAATTTATCATTTTTTGTCGTAATCAGGGTATCGATTTATCAATTTTTGTCTTAAACAGGATATCTTTTCTTGGAAGATAAACAGCAAAATTTTTACAAGCTCTAATTTTAATTAATATTGAATTCCATTGATTTTGGCATTGATACCAGGTACATTAAATGTCTTAAACAGGGTATCAAAAATCGGAATTCTGTCTTAAACAGGGTAGGAAAATCAGCAATATTTGTCTTAAACAGGGTCAGGGTATGAGAGGCCGTGCCGCACCTCCCCACCCAGGAATATATTGAGTACCCCCCGAGAAAAAAGTTTCTTACAGGGTGCGGTTAGTTTGAAGTCTTTCTTTCTTCCATGCTGCATGAAAAACTCAAGAAACAAAAGTAATTTGGTGTGAACCAGAACCCCTGACAAATGGAAAGTGACAAGGAGGCCAAGGAAAAGCAGAACTTAAAACCACTGAATTGTTATGGTAATAATTCAACTCGACAATACTTTTGGAGAAGATTTCCAATCATGCAGGGTCAAAAGTAATGTGAAATTGCATTGGTTTACTTTATGGTACTCTGGGATTACAAACAGAATGTGACACCTGGCTGTCAGCCTGTCCCTAGCAAAACTTAAATCGTTTACAACTATATATGTCATTGCATAAGTTCAATTTAAGTTCTGATTGGTTCCTCATAATAGTTTCCTTTGTTCTGATTCGTCAGATTGGAGTTGGTAAAAAAAAAAAAAAATTAACAAACATGATGGCTTCCTAAGTGAAAAGTGAAAATAAAATTGAAAAATAAATCAAATTTTAGCACTGGCACCTCCATGGGGTGACTATTTGTCCAGTGTGGTCAGGTCAAATTGGAATTTGGACCCCTGGTTTTTGTGGAGGGTGAAAAACCACAGCCATGGAGAGGGGAAGGGGTGGCTAAAGCTAATACACTCATCACCATACTGTCCTACATCGTATAAAGATGGAAAAGGGAGGCGCACTTGGGTTGGTAAAGATGTAACCAAGTAACTAAATAAAAATCTTTGGATTGGTTCATGATGATTTACATCAGAGTTAAGTGACACAACCAACAAAAGTTGCAAACAGAAAAGTATAAGACAAGATCAATGATTTCTTAGCAACATCTGTCTCCTCCATTCAGCATTTTTTTCAGTAAAACATTGATTCACCTTTAGAGTTAACCAGCACAAGCAACAAAAGTTGCAAGCAGGAAAGGATGACATAGGACTGAATCGTGAAACCCTAAACATGACATAATCAGTAACTGTTCAGCTTAGTGTTTTGGAACAATGAAAAGACACTTAAAGAGCAAAAATGTAAGTGCTATGAACTTCATGCTTACATTCTCTTGACCTGCTTCAGGTTTCCACACTCAAACCTTGATTCAAATGTAAGACACGGGGGACAACCAGAAGGAACATAATGGCTTTGCTGACCCTGTGACACAAAAGAACATAATTTTTTGAAGCATCCAATTAATTTTTAATTGAAGTGACTTGACTTTGGTGATGACTTCCACTCAGGTTGTTGAAACATCATCAGTCCCCTCCAACAACAACAGTCCTTCTCAGAACTACACTTACCCAGACAATCAGAATTCACTATCACATGTTACCACAGGGTTCAAACCATTTACCTTAAAGCTATGTATGTATGTAATAATTTGGATATATCAACAAAGTTGAAATGGTAAATTGGCCACCGTAACGATTACAAAAGCTGACATTTCGAGCATTAGCCCTTCATCGGAGCGAAGGGCTAATGCTCGATGAAGGGCTAACGTTCGACGAAGGGCTAACACTCAAAGGGCTAATGCTCGAAACGTCAGCTTTTGTAATCGTTATGGTGGCCAATTTACCATTTCAACTTTGTTGATATATCCAAATTATTACATACATACATAGCTTTAAGGTAAATGGTTTGAACCCTGTGGTAACATGTGATAGTGAATTCTGATTATCTGGGTAAGTGTAGTTCTGAGAAGGACTGTTGTTGTTGGAGGGGACTGATGATGTTTCAACAACCTGAGTGGAAGTCATCACCAAAGTCAAGTCACTTCAATTAAAAATTAATTGGATGCTTCAAAAAATTATGTTCTTTTGTGTCACAGGGTCAGCAAAGCCATTATGTTCCTTCTGGTTGTCCCCCGTGTCTTACATTTGAATCAAGGTTTGAGTGTGGAAACCTGAAGCAGGTCAAGAGAATGTAAGCATGAAGCTTTGCGGCTAACAAATACTGGCTGGACAGTTGTCTGCACCTTCATGCTAAGATTCTTGAGCTCTTTCTTAACATAATTTGCTGATTCCTGATCTTTGAAAGGTATGACCACACGAACAATGGATATTGGTTCTTTGGGCGTCTGTGTGGGCTGCGTACCAACAATTCTTGATTGTAAGAAGGTGTTAATGGTAGAATTTACCAGGCGTTCCGGGTATTTAAGCCGTGCGAAAACTTTCTTTAGGCGATCACACTCATCAGAGAAATGGGCCCAGGAGGAAGATAATCGGTGTGCGCGATCCAGCATAGTTTTCAGCAAGCTCCGTTTGTAGCGATTGTCTACATGGCTTTGGTAGTGTAATAGTAGGCCCGTGTTTGTTGGTTTCACATATACCTTGGTTTCAATCCGAGGTGCATGGTTGAGTAGTTCGGTGCCAAGGAAAGGAAGCTTGCTGTTCTTCTCCACCTCCATGGTGAATTTGACCGAAGTGTGGGCGCTGTTGAGGGTATGCAAGAAGGTAGTTGCTGTTGCTAGATCAGGCATTACCGTGAGTGTATCATCAACATATCGACGATAATAGGATGGAAGTTTTCTTTGTCGCTCAAGGGTATCTTCGATGAATGACATGAAGACGTTTGCTAATAAGGGCCCGAGAGGGGACCCCATAGCAACGCCATCTGTCTGTTCGTATAGAGCCCATTTCTCCTGGGCCCATTTCTCTGATGAGTGTGATCGCCTAAAGAAAGTTTTCGCACGGCTTAAATACCCGGAACGCCTGGTAAATTCTACCATTAACACCTTCTTACAATCAAGAATTGTTGGTACGCAGCCCACAAAGATGCCCAAAGAACCAATATCCATTGTTCATGTGGTCATACCTTTCAAAGATCAGGAATCCGCAAATTATGTTAAGAAAGAGCTCAAGAATCTCAGCATGAAGGTGCAAACAACTGTCCAGCCAGTATTTGTTAGCCGCAAAGTTGGCCTACCCCCATCATCACATCACCCCAGTTTCTCTAGAAAAACTAATAATTACTTCCTTAATTGTATAGCTGGTAGGTAAAAATCCAAAATTGTCAGCATGGCAACATGTACTATTCTTTTATTTTTTGAAACTGTCCGATTAAGGATTCATTTGGATAGCTTCAAACTAACCAAATTAGTCCTTGAATGAACAATGATAATTGACTAGCTATATAATTAATAAGTAATAAGAAGACTACTTACTTGTCAAATTTTGGGTATAACTGGATAAAAAAAAAATGTTCTGACAGCTAAAATTGGACTTGGCCTACAGCCTTGTCCAATGTTAGCTGTCCTCAGAATTTTTTCCATCCAATTATTTCCAAATTGGACAGCATGTAGTCCTATTACACAAACTAATGGGAGACATAAGTTTCCTTTATGAATGCAATACTTTTTGTTTAATTTTTAGTTCAGAGAATTTGTCATGAAATAAAACAATATTGCCTGAATTATCTCATTCTTTCTTCTTATTGCCTTTTAGCTACACAATGCATTGATAATGTCAAGATATATTACATAGAGGGTCCCTGCTGAGATCGAAAAGGTTGAGGTCAGAGTAAAGCTAGCCATTAGGCCAGATTGTCTACTTAATGACCACCAGCAAGAATTAAGCACATTGCCTTTACTTTGAATTATTTATTGCATACCTCCTCTCTATTCTGTCTTTCATAAACTGTGAGGTTTCCACGCCACTGTTGAGGATACCGTGAGTCTTCATTTGGTACTGTGTGTCCAGCATTGGCATTTTCAGCTGAAAAACAAAACAAGTTGATGATGTATAGACAACATAAATAGCTTCCAACATAATCTACTGAACACCACTTCCTTCTTCCCAACACAGCCCCCCCTCCCCTCCCCTCCTTCTTCCCAACACAGCACCCTTTTCCCCTCCCCTCCTTCTGCCTTCCTCAGAAAAACTAGCCATTGGTGTTTATTTGATCCCTTGATACTCGGAACTTTTTTTCCTTTTTGGACACCAACCGAATTGAAAATAGTTTTTCACAGTTGGATTTGAAAAGTAGCCATTGGTGTTAGTTTGATTCCTTAACGCTCAAAAACGTTTATCATTTTTGGACACCGACCAAATTGAAATACTTTTTCTCCAGTTGGATTTCAAAAGTAGCCACCTTGTATTTTCATTGGGCAACCTTCCCCGCCCCACCATATCGCGAAATAAACACTATCTCGAAAATAATGAAACCAACAAAAGTAATGACACCAATGAATCACTTAATGAGATAAAGCTACAACAGCGTCATTTTGCATTAATCTTTCACAAGGCAAAATTTGTTCAAATTTCAGTGCCGTAAGTCAACAAATTTTATTCCCTTTGCGTTACTGCGAGTAAAATATTGCGAGAGTTTATTAAGAAATTAAAAAATGATTGTTGGCGCCGATTGCCATTGCTAAGACATGTTTTGAAAGGCTTCAAAACAAACAATTTCTTTTGTTTATTCATCCTACCTGGGTGATTATCAATATTTAGCGACGTCTGTTTTTCGCATTTGCACTCGAATCTTTCACAACATGAATTTTAACGCAATTTATTTTGGGAAATGTAGAGAACATGTTCTTGTTAAAATATTTTCTTCTTTATGAAAAATTACCAATCGAACTAAAGTATCAAAATTTTCGGATATATTTAGCAATGTTTAAATTACGTTGACTCATTTCACTGCGGTTGTTATTTGATGCCCAAAAGCCAATGTCGATTTTATAAGCGTGACTTGTTAATTGCATAGTGGCAAAACTTTACAGGGAAACGATAAAACACGCTAACTTTTGTACCTAATTTTGCCACAACCAAAACTTTGAAACTTTCTAAAAGCCTTCAAATTATGTGCGAACGCACATAGTTATCACAAGGTTCAAGGAAGGCGTGAATTTGTTCAATGTGTGTCTAATGGAAATCCAGTTCGCAAACAAATCGGTTTGTTGACATGCATGGCGAACTTTTCAACTTAAGAGCAGTACACGTACCTTCCGTGTTCAACCTTTCGACAAAATCGGGAATAAAATGAATGTGTTTCTGACACGACAAGCGCGGTAGGTGATCTTTGGGCCAAAATGGGCCGGGGATGTCATGTTGTTCGCCATTGTGATCGATCCATACACATCCTGGTGAACGTTTATAAACAGCAGTCGTATTTGTGTTTGAGCACGTTTTACCAGCATTCTCGAGTGCGGCTCGCGTGTAGATGCTAAATCGTTTGTTAAAGTCACTAGATAAGGGATCTATATCGTCGAAGTCACGAACAGAACCTCTCATCGAAGACTTATCGAACGTAAGAGATCTCATCGAACGTCTGATCGCGTACTTTTGTAAATATTGTTGACGTCTTTGAAACAACACCCCATCGTCATCTTGAAAAGACGGATAGCTATAGTTGCGGTTTTCTGTTGTTCTGTGTTTATCAGAGTCTTCCATCTCTATCTGCCTCCTCCGTCGCTCTTCAGCAAGCCGTTGTTCGTGTAACTTTTTTCTCTTTTCTCCAGGCGGAGTTCCAAGGGCGGCCCGCACTTGAGATTGTATACTTTGCTCTACGGATCTTTTAATGGCAGCCACCCATGCTTTCCGATCTCTTTCGTCTTTAAACAAACGTTTGGCTTTTTCTGCAGACATCACTTCTATTTCTCGATGCAGTTCTTCCTCTCTTTTCGATCTCCAAAGTGCATTCGCCAAGAAGCCCTCGGCCGTTTTTTCAACAAGCGCATATGCGTTTCCTCGATGCTTTTCCTCCAATGACTCTGTAGTATCCTCTAACTCGTCTGATTCTTCCAGAGACATCTGGCGTCAGAAAAGTCGACGTTTCGTGAACGGTTATTTACAAAGGGATTTCAAATAAAACCGAAAATGAAGACATCCCGTTTGAACATAGCATGCTGTCTACCCGCACACAGACGAATTAACTTTTTGTTTCCATAGCAATTCGTTTTGTTTGCCGCAAAAGGTTTCAATTACTGCGTGCATTGTTTGACATGTGGGTGCGTGTAGACAAAGGGGTTTGACTATATATAAAGCTGAAAATTGACTCTTGAATGTAACAAAACCACATCACGTAGGTATGAAAGTCCATTTACAAGTAAACTGGTTTTCAAATATTGACTCTGTGAGACGAGAAAATTTACGAGTGTTTTGTTTAACAAAGTGTGGTCACCCAAGCGTAATGTTTTGTGTTTGAAGATGATACACAGTCCACCCCACAATGACCACAAATCAGAAGGGTGCTTTCATTAAAAGATGAAAAGGCGGTTTTTTTATGCAATTATCGCTGATTTCAAGGTCATGCAGCATAAAAGGATAGTTGTGCATCCCTGTCATCGCAACAAAATTTTACCTTCTCCGGCAACCTCAAACATGATTCGCATTTGTGCTCGTCGAAACTGTGGTATAAAAGTGATGGGCATCTAGGTAAAATTGTTTCAAGACAATTTTTCTCTCTTCAGATGGTCGGGGATAAATTTTCTTGGGCAGTTCTAGGAGCTGTGGTGAAAAATTGAAGTTACTTGCAGAGGTGACAAGTTCTCTTGATTGCATTTCTGAACAATGAAAGCGAGAAAGGGCAAGTGAAGTACCTCTTCTTCGCCCTTCCACAACCAAGATCTCAAAAGTAATTCTCCTTACCATCTACCATAGAAATATTATGATGTTAGTTCGAAGAATGTAACGTTGGATCAACTAACAATCTCTAATTGATATTTTTCTTCATTCTCGTCACCGGTCTACTTAGTAACCGCCCCCCCGGTTAGCTCAATTGGATAAAGCGCCGGATTGTGTTGTTGCTACCTTTCTATAATCAAGAAATAAATAGATATTCTAGTCTTCTCGGATAAGGACGAATAAACCGTAGGCCCCGTTTCCTGCAGGGTTAGGGGTAGGAGACGTTAATTCCTCACGCACGAGATTACTGTGTTGTGAATGTCCCCCCCTGGGGTGGGATGGGTGGGAATTGGCCCTGAAAAGCCCCCATGGGGAGTGGTCAAGTGGTATTTCAGGTCTGATTTTCACTATTGCTCAAATAGTGCTTTACTGCGAAGGATCGTTCACATATACGTAACATATGTATGTATGTATGTATGTATGAATGTATGAATGTATGTATGTATTTATGTATGTATGTATGTATGTATGTATGTATACTGTACTGATATTGTAAGAAGAAATTTCGTCTTTGTCACAAATGGGAGTTAAAAGGGTAAAAGAAGAACTCATACTATCACATTAGTGTCAGAAAAAATGGTAACTATTAATTTTCAGTTGAATCAATTGTCTACCGTTAAGTTAGACCTCGCGCAATCATGTATGCAACGGATTCGAAGGTTTAAAATGTTCATGAAAAAAATTACGCGCGTCTGATTGGCTGAAAACGAGTGCATTTTGATGTAACAAAAGTGCAAAGTTGTAACGCGAGTGCAAATATCAAATAACTCGAGCTTGCTGTCAAAATATCATCTGTCTGGAGTTTCTTTGATGCTCTTTTCATATAAAATTTTAATACGTAATAACATGATTACTCGTGTGATTTGGTGAAAATTTTTCAAAGACATCAAGACTGCTGGTGATATTGTTTTTGTCCTTGAAAAATTTACAAGCGCTCATTACACACCAAATTGAGCTCGAAATCATGCATGTTCATGCCAATACAAATTTATTCGCTGATTGCAACATTTCATTAGTTTCCAGCAACCAGAAACAGTTACGGCGATGGTTGTGCCAATTCTTGCCAGTAGAGTCGAGCAGAGAAACATTCCACAAAATCTTTTTAAAATAAAGGCAACTTAATCACAACAGAACACCACCTTATTATGACCTACGGGTTTCATTTAGTTTCTTCATTCATTTGTCTTTTTGTTCTCTACTGTTTTGTCTTCTACACCAAGCAATGGCCGTAGGGTAGTTTTATAGATAATCAAAGCAATCCAAGATCACTCCTTTAGACTACTCTGACACTCCATTGAGGGACACAGATGTAAGACGGTAACCATTTTCAAAGCTTTGATATTCCCACCTTTTCCCCTTTTTGTACGAGAGATGGCCCTGGGAACAAGGATAGAAAATCGCTACAATAAGGTAAGCGGAAGTGATGACGTCAAAACAAGAACAGTTATGTTTCTATGAAGCTAAGTGTTGGAAAAGGTGAACAGAAACGGATAAAAGCAGACAACACCAGACAAAATTCGGATCAAACTTATTTCCCGCGTCTCTCTTATTGTTTAATTTCTCGAGAGCTTTATCTAGTAGCCACGTAGTTGTGTCTTCGACCCACTCTTTCTGGTCTGCATCCAAACATACCTGATTACAATCTTGTTCCCAGGATTTCTCTTCTTCCTGTATCCTAGCTCTTGGAGGGTGGAAAAAAAAAAGAGACACCCTCGTAACGAGGTTGTATGTTGTAAATAGCGCTATATAAGAAATAAATTATTATTAGTATTAGTATTAGTATTGTTATTATTATTATTATTATTATTATTATTATGTACCGCGAAAGTATACAATATGAAAAGGGAACTTCGTTCTATTTGTTTTTTAAATTATCATCATTTAGGTTTTTTTGCTATTGTCTTCTTATGATCTCCTAACGCTCGATATTGTTTGAATGTAAAGAAAGAAAAGAAACCGTATCGATCACATCCATCCGCGCGCTAAGAGTCCGTTCCTCAGTTCTTCACCTGCTACATAGGAGATGGAGAATGAGTTATGCTAGGTAAGTATGACCGAGTAGCTCTGGGAACGAGAATGAACTGCATTCTTATGTAATCAAAATTGTCTCTTACTTATTGACCACTTTCAAAAATGGCTGCCGGATTAATATTCTTTTGTTTAAATTTAAATTAGCCTTTCTGGCCTCGCTTGAGATAATGTATTCTTTTGAATTTTGTACTAGAGAACGAGGCCAGAAAGGCTAACTTAAATTTAAACAAAAGAATATTAATCCGGCAGCCATTTATGAAAGTGGTCTATGTAACTGACAGATATCAGTTAATAACTTCCGATGGTTTTTACTAGCAAGAAATAAGCGTCGACGTAAAGAAACAATACATTTTTAATTTTACAAAAAAGCCGCATGAAACAAACAAATAATTAAAAGCAACAGTGAAAACAAGTCAAATGAATGAAGGGGGTAAGTTTCTGGAGAAACTGCGATGCTACGTCGGTGAGGGTAACAAGGTGATTTGGTAATATCAACTAAGTTGAAATTGTTAATTGGCCACCGTAAAGAGTTAAAAAAGCTTTTATATAATTAAGCGTTTAAAGAGTTAAAAGAGCTTTAAGGGGTTAAAAGCTTTTTAACTCTCTATCAATTTCAACTTAGTTGATATTACCTGAGTTATCTTTGCTAAAGTGTCCCGGAAGCCCGACTTGTTTACTCCGAAGGGAGCTAAGCATGCATCAGCTAAGGAAGGATATATGCAAACTTTATGTTGCGGAGTAAAGATATAGCAATAGCAATTAATTTCGGCGTAGAAATATTGATATGGTTCTAGAAATGCATTCTGATGATCGAGTCTCAGACTGAACTGAGATACGATACCTTATTTAGCTTAATCCCTTTCCCCATATCGACCCCTTCGTTTCAGGCCTTTTTACCGCGTAGTTATTGACAATGATCTTTGTAGCCAAAAACCGCATAGCCTCCTACGCAGACTTTCTTTGGGCTCGTCAAGCAATCTTCGACGAGCCCAAAGAACGTCTGCGTAGGAGGCTAAAGGCCGCACGAGTAAAAGGAATTTTTATTATTGACTTGGCGGGAACTGATGCGAGAAAAAGAAATGAAAAACGCATTTACAGACATCTATAGACAGATACAAATATGTGGCAACACCGTATATTATTATTTACCTTTCATTTAGAAGTCTTTCTTTCAACCTCATCAATCTAAAGTATAATTTAATAACACACCATTAAAAGCGAAATTTTTGAAATACAAAATGTAAAATAGACTACCTTTTATCTTTGCATTTCGAAAATCACACACGTCAAAACGAACGCCAGGAAGCCAAACGTTAACCCTGAAAAAATTGGTTTCACAAAAAATTTGATAGCTGTTGTTAATGTTGTTTTGATTGGCTTCAGGCGAAATATTTTTTTTTATTATTTGCAAAAGTATCTTTTACGAAACGAGAAGAAAGTAACATAACATAAGGCAAATGGACACAGCAAACAAACAGGAAAGACTGATGTCAAATTTCATTTATTTAGGAAATCAATAGCAGAGATAAGCACAGGTTACGGAAAGTCCGACAAAAAAAAAAAATTTTCTAAGATGAAAACACCGATAATGATGCGAATGATTTTGGGGAAAAGTAGTCAGCGTTTGGCAGAAGTATATAACTAGGTATGCTTAAAAAAGAAGTGAGATATTTTGAACGACCTTACTTGGAGAAGCCAAGTTTTCCAAGCAATTATGTGCTATCTAGAGTCATTAAATGCAAGCAGTTACGAAATTAAGCCTGTTTTAAGCGCGATGCGATCAGAGTAAGATCATGGAGATTTGTCATGTTAATGTAATGAAAGAAAGGAACTGAATTTGCAAGAAATCACGAACATTCAAGATACGGACGAGTCGATGAAATTATGAATTGTCGGTAGTATATCTCCATTCTAGAACTTTCGAAATAACACCTTGGGTCTAAGGAGATGCCGACATTATTCAAAACAACTGATAGTACGCGATAAAACTGCGCGTATCTTAGATATGAAGCCGGAAAACATTTCACTTGAGCTGTTAAATGCGTGAATTATGACAATCGCATTGTCTTTGACGAGTTCTCCTAGCCTAGCTGTTTATTATCGGATCCTTATTTTTTTTCCGGATTTTAAGACTCGGTTTTCAGAAGAAAACATCTGCCAAAATTCTACTACTATTAGTTTTTGGAAAAGTCTCGATTGTTTTCTTTATCTGCCACTGACAGGGAAACATTAAGGAGCTAAACTTGATGAACAAGAAAGACATCAGCGTTTTGAATACCGAATTGGGTTGATGCATTTGTGTCTCCAGATACATTAAATCGTCGTATTCGTTCATTTCCAGTGGACTGATCTCCGCTTTTTGCCCACAATTTATCCCTTAACTTTGGCTTTTATCGGATAGGACTGGAGGTGTTAAAGTACAAAAAGCAAGTAATTTCGGGATAAGAAAAACACTGCCGCTTGCAAAGTCGTCTCATTGTCTTTGGCTGTCAGAGAAGCCAATGAGAGCCAGAGAAATTCTCTTGCACCTGTAAATTGGCAGGCGACCTCAATGAGCTCGTGCTAATCGTTAAAAAAGATAATACCGTATGGAAGATTTATGCAAAGACGACGCTGACAATGGTATAAGTGGGTTCTCATCCCACTACAGTGTGTACAAAACCAGCTTGAATTATCAATAGCGACTTCTACTGCATAATGTAGCGGAAACTTTAAATTTTTAATTTCCTCCATCATTATATTTTTCTTGCTTCGCTGATCTCTCTTTACCCACATCTGAAGCAAGATGCATATCGATATTAGAAATTTACGGTAGGTGCTGTATTCAGAAAGTTTCATGGCAATTAGATTATTAATTTTAAATGTAAGTGCTGTGGGTATCGAATATTAAAAGAAAACCTTTTGAAGAGCGGACCATCGAAATAAATGGTTTTCCCATTTATGAATATTCATTATACTAATATCATTTCGTCTTTCTTTTATCAACAACGACAACAGAAGGTGCTCTGATAGGCTTTCCAGTTTGCACTGAACATTATTAATGACACTCTTTCGAAGGGCCGAGGTGAAAATAGACCATTAACATCAAGAAAGAAGTCAGAGAACAGCGCAGCGAAAACTGAATGGAATGGTTACAGCTTCTGTGACTTGGTCTGTATTAATTCTTACTGTTTTCCATTCGTCTCTGATAATTTTGTTTCCTTCTTTGTTTTGATATGGTAATGAAAGTCGAAATACTGTTTTTAAAACAACCGATGCAGGCTGATGGCCTTCGACGTCGAAGTGATTCGAAACAGTTTTTCGCTAATTCGCGGCATTGTCCCATAAGTGAATAATGAGCGAAGAAATGTAGTTTACAGCCAGGTTTTGCGATTATGAAGCGAAATGTTTAAATTTGACTTTGAAAAAAACCAACAAAAAAAGACAGGCATCAAAATTTATTCTTTTAAGGTAGGATACGTAGGAGACGTATAAAAGAACTTTACAAACCTTCGAAGATAAAGGTTGTTCTTGTTCTTTTCAGGCAAAAACGAAAATATCAGTCGCTAAGCTGTTCATTTTCACCAAAACGTTTCTGCAAAGCAAGCTAAGAGGGAGAACGCAAGAACTTAACGCTTTATGAAGGAAAAGGAAACACAGATGGTAAAACAAACCTTCACAATTAGATCTACAGATGTTTAGGAGAAGATTATGACTTGGATGGCGCTGTTGTCACTCATCGAGAGAGAAAGAACACCTGTCCTCTGAAACCTTCATCGACCGCTGTCGACCTAAAAACGCTTCAAAACCTCTGAGCTTGGACATAGCAACGAATCTAAACAAATTTTTTCAACAAGCGAAGATCTAAGCAATTACGAGAGGCAATAAGCTTTATATTTAGAATAGCAGAAATGGCGTACGCGAGTGGGTACGAGAGATTGAAGTATTGACTTTTAGAGTTCGTGAAAACCATGTCGACGCAACACAACAACCTCCAACACGATCCGTTGGTTTATGTCTGCGGCGAAGCGAACTTAAACACACCTGGAGGTCCTTCGCTTAGGGACATAGTCATCAGAAATTTAGTAACTACTTGGGCAATACGAACACATCCTGTTACGGACTTTCTTGATCCGAGACAAGAGAACTTAGCTGAGCTGTTTCAAATAATTCCTCGCGCGAGTGTTTTCGTATTCATATTCAGTAAAAAATCTCTGGAAGACAGCTATTTTCTGAATCAGTACGGCCTTGCCAAATCGTACAAAATTCCCGTGGTGGGGATGCGATTGACGAATTATTTTATACGAAACTCTTTACCCGAGCAATATTACCGAACGGAAATCGTCGATAACGACGGCGAGTCAACAATTGACAACAAGCGAACGGCTGAAAAGACATCGTCGTCCCTCGCCGAACATCTGATCGCTGATTTTAAACATTCCATGGTCTACGGGCCGGATTTTCACAAATCTTGTATCGAAAGGCTCGTTCATAAAGTAACCAGAGCATGTTCACAACGCGAGAACGAAAAAGCATTTCTGCAGCGGTCGAACGAGAATGGCGGCTCCACTCTGAATAAACAGCGCCAAGATAAAGCGAACTCACCAACAAAGTGCCCGAAATGCGGATTTATTTTCACAAATGTTTCTCCACCGCCAAAACTTCAGCGAGCATCGAGCACAGGTTCTCTGCTTCGTCGTAGCGACACGTACGATCATTTGCCGTTTAGTTCTTCAAATGCGAAAACAACAGTGCCCAGGAACAGGACACCACTCCAGCCCACCACCATCCAAATTCCAATTCCACACGTTATCAAACAGCCTAAAAAAGTAGACACTCTCCGTTATGGTAATTGGACAACTAAACCGGATAACAGCAAAGTGCCACCGCAAATGGAACCAAAAATCCAGCCGAGGGCCAGCTCGGTATCATCTTCGGAAAGCGCTCGGGAGGAAACGAGGTCATCGCCACCGCCTCTGAAACCAGCTGGAATCCCTAAAGTTTTTCGACGCCAGTCCCGAGTTTCAAATGGTAGCTGGACCGAGAAACTCCGGAATAAACTTCGCCGCCAGTCGAGCTTGCCCGTCATACCGACGACCTATCTCGTAACTACTCCAGATGGGTTCGAAAAGCAGATTTCCCTCGTAAGGTATCCACCCGAGAAACAAGAGTCTTCGTCGCCTCGTGGAAGCGACGGCGCTTCGGGGTTTTCCGAAGATGAGGACCAGGAGACCATACACATATCACGTGTTCCTAGCCCAGACGCACCGAGTGGGTAATATTGAACACAAGGGGTGTCTCTTTGGGAAAAGATATTAATGTTTGCGAGTGAGCCTTGACCATGGTAAAGCCAAGCATTTCAACTGTAAAAATTCGTTTTGAGAGTAATTTCCTCTGTAATATTTTAAGCGGTTTTACGCAAGCAGTGGTGCTCAGTGATTATCTGAAAGAGGCTTAATTTGATTCAATAAATATACTTCCACGATGAGTGTTCGGCCCTCTTGACACAGTTAAAAAAAATATCAATGTTTTGATGAAAGGTCCAGCTAAACTGAAGATGGTTTAAATCGCAGTTTTGTTTTAAAAACAACAGCTAAAACTTTCAGATTGTCAGACTTAATCGTATGAAGCACAGCCTACGAGTTTACTTTAAGCTAGAGAAAAGTATCAAATCAACTTGAGAGATGGCACTTTCCGATTGAGTGTCGTACAAACAAAGCCACAGTTACTCTAAAATGGCCAATTAGGGCGAAGGAAACGAACCGCTGACAGCGCGGGAAAAAAACGCGGGTGGCCAAATTGCGTTGGCTGATAGTTTGTAATCTGATTGGTAGAGAAAGTGGCGTCAGTTTTTAAAGGAATTATCAGAATTTTTAGATACTGAAAATCTTTAACATTTGAGAAAAATTATTTTCAGTTTCTTATCGATAATCACGTTAACAATCTTGTACATATTAATGACGTGTATTAAGCGTAAGTGGACCTTATCGCGAGGCTACGGGAAATGATTCCACAACTTCTCTTGCCTATTTCGATTGGCTGACGCTGAGACTTATTGCTTCTCACGGATTTTGAAAATATCGAAACCGGGCTTTTAAAATTGTACATCAAAGAGCAAACTTTTCAATTTCTATTTCACATAATCTTAAATCACGTTAAGAACTTTCATGATTTGTTTTCACTCGACGTTCCATAGGCCTAAAAACCTTAAGAGTGACCAGTATCTCATTTCTCCTAATAGAAACACTGTTGAAGCATTTCTCAACACCATGAGAATAAAGGAAATGACCACCAGTCTAAGAAGCTTTGATTGTTCAACGAATTCTCCTAGTGCCAAAGAAAATGTATGGAGAACAGTACATGCATGTAGAATATGCATTACTTTAGTGAGGCGCGAACAAGATATTTTCTTAGTGCGAATCAATGAAACACCAGCTACATCGGTTGTGGTTAGGTTTAGTCCTGACGGAAATAAATAAATCCTGAGGTTCCCTTCAATAAGGTCACAGAAGTTCGTCATAAACCAGGCGCGTAGCATGGTCATTTTTTTCAAGTACGCACAAGTATATATGATCTAGAAACCTAAGTAAACTGAGAGAAAAATACTGCGTTCTTTATTTCTTTTTTGAAATAGTTGTGTGAATACAAGCAAAGAACAAAGCGTCTTGCCCTTAATTTGAGCAAACTTGGCGCAAACACAACATTGTTTTCAAATTTTTCTGGTCACTTCAAGTACGCACGTGCGTATATGCGTAGAGGACGCTAAGCGCCTGTAAACGCCGAAACAATTCCGAGCAGCTCACACGTTACTTTTGTTTTCGGGAGTGCGGGAAACGAGTGAGACGCCCGCGCGTTGCGCGTCTCGCACGAAGTTTTTCACATATTAACATTTTAGTTGTAATCTATTTCAAGTTTCTACTAATAAATTTACTAATGCTTTGTTTCGGATCGCTTCGAATCGCTTCCACGTTATTTGAGTAATTTCTGGATTTTGCACGAGCAAGGTATTTTGGACTTCAATCGTAAATACAAATCACGCAAGATAGAACAAATTGTTGTTGTTCTTTTTTTCGAATTTATATATCGGCCATTTATAGGCGTGGCTGCTAATTCTTTAGCCCCCTTGGGATCCTCTCCACAAATTGTGTGGGTGCATAACTCTTGATGCGCCGATCAATTCGAAGCTTCACCCCGGGCAACCCACAGACATTCGATTGGCGCCCGTGCCCGGAAGGGTGGAGAATTTGAACCTTGGATATATAGGGTATTTGAACCGGAAATGTCAAGTCTTTCAAGCGTACTACAGAATTGAAAGGTAACGAGCCCGCTTTCGAGTGCAAATGGCTAAGAAAGACAATCTTCACATCGAAGAATGATGCTTGCAAGGAAAAACCATAGCAGCAGCACCAAAAACTAACAGGTGACTTTGCATAATTGAATGGGGCATTTCAACCCAATTTTAGCCGCCATGAGTGAGGAGAAGGGGGGGGAGGGGGTCACGAATTTGAACTAACCAATCTTCAAAATTTAAATTCCGGGGGGTAATGTTGAAGCCTCAAATTGATCAACTCATCATTCAATGACTTCATACGGCAGTAGACTATGAGAAGTCCCTTTCTGGCGAAGTCTGGTACACGAATCAATAAAAATCTAGTGACATTAAAGAGATGCTGGCGCATCGCACGAATATCTGAGAATGAGCTACGGGAAAAGTAGGGATCACAGACTAAGCCAGGGAACTGTGAAATGTTCAGCAGGCAACCGTGGACGATACTCCTACTCTTGTACGTTGGATCAGCGATGATCTGATCGGCCCAAAATAACGAATATGAAATATAAATATAGAGGCAAGACCGATACAACGTAGATAAGTAAATTTTAAGACGGAGCACTATATTTCGGCTGGCCAAACCAGCCTTCTTCAGGTGCAGTGGGAATTAACAGAGAATTGGGGTGATGCTTCATAGATAGCTGTATGATGTAACAGCGGAAATACGTAAAACTAATTTGATTGACAATGAGATAACAATAAAAATAGAAATAGTGACCAGGGAGTCGATTTCTGCGCTGCACTCTCAACACTAAAACATGATTGGCTGTACAGCTGGAAATCGGCTGTCAATAGACGGCAATGCATGTCTTATTACGGTTGATGAGCTGCAAAAATTTTTGTTGCAGTTTCCGACATTGCGCTCGCTGGTGATGTTGCTAACCAGCTTCGGTAAAGTAATTCCCCATTTCAAAAACGAGTGGGGGAGTGGGTCGAGCTCGCCGCGAAAGTTTGTCTGGGATCGTTACTCGGGACACAAATCTATAGAAAACAAAGATTTGCGTCCTGAGTAACGATCCCAGACAACCTTGCGCAGCGAACTCGACCCACTCCCCCACTCGTTTTTGAAATGGGGAATTGTCCCAATCCTTTTCACCTCAACATTAGCATTTTATATTCTCCACGCTGTTCTTATTACAGTTCCTATGTTATTGTTGAGGAGAATTTGATCAAAAATCAGAAGGTTCTTCGTGCAGTGATCATTTAATTCATTCTCATGACCCTTATACTTAATTCAAAGGTTATACCATATGGAGAAATTAGAAGTCAGTCACAGCCTTAGACACTGTCAACTCTTTCAACCTCAGAAGTGATCGTCATGTAACTTCTCCCTGTATTATTCAAACATTATCCACTAAACAAGTAACAAGAATACTCAAACTTATCAGGTAGAAGTTGTTGGTTGACCTAACACCAAATTCTTTCAAGGGAATGTATAGCAGTCAGGGATTGAAACGACCTTTTCAACTTACTAGCCGAGTGGCTGCAGGTGACATCTTAAATGTTACAACAATTTCAGTTTGTTTACTAGTTAAACTGGCTAGTGGAAATAAAAAACTAATAGCCAAAACTGAATTTCTACTTGTCTGTGGTTAGTGGGCTACTGTTCTTGTCAAGTCCCAGTAGTAGAGGGGAGAGTTAAGCATCAAATCTTAAGAAAGGCCGTCTGTAAAAATCGAGCAGAGGTGTTGAAAATAAAAAAATTGAAATTTTTTCAAACTTTGCCAGAACATAGCTATGAATGGCCTTAGTTACGGAAAAATATCAAAAATACCGAAAAAAATTATTTTGGGAGAACGGTGGCATTTTGTGTTTTGGGGGTTCGTAGCCGTGTTTTCCCGGTGAAATATTACACCTCAAGATAACGGCCAAGAAAATTTTATTTCGCCAGCAATTCGGAAACCACATAACAATTCTAAAACAAGAGATGTTTTTCAAAGGTTCTGAAGTTTTTTTTCCAAGATTCCTTAAAAAACGATTTTTTACGAATTTTCTTATTCGGGTAAATTTTCACCCATCAAAGCATAGCTAAACTTTGGCCACTAAAATCGGCCATTGTTACATGGCTCCATAAACTGAGACAAAAACCATTGTCAAGGACAAGGTTTCTTCTTTTAGAAACTGCAATAAAATTTTTGGGCTGCTTAAACTACGAAGTTTTAGAGCGATTAAAATAAGCGTATTTGAGCTCAAGAAGCGCGTTATGTGACCAACATGACTTGTACGTCACATTAAAAAAAAAACACTATCAATACACTCGAATTCCCTCTTATATCATACAAAACCTTCGAAACAGGTCTACTTCATGTTCAATATACGTATAGTTTTCTCCTGAAGCCAAAATGTTAAGGCAATCTGGGCAATTTTCAATAGTCTAGGTATATGCAAATTAGATACAATGAAAATATATGAAGTTCATATATTTTGTACTGCGGTATTAGATACATATGATGCACGATCCTCGCAGTAGATAGCGCTATTTAAGCAATAGCGAAAATCAGACCTGAAAAAAATCAGGCCTGTACGGGATTCGAACCACTGACCTCTGCGATACTAGTGCAGCGCTCTACCAATTGAGCTAACAAGCCAACTGGGAGCAGGCCGTTAAGTTGATTCGTAATAAACCCGTGAAAGTGATAAATGAGATACAATGAAATATATGAAGTTCATATATTTTGTACTGCGGTATTAGATACATATGATGCACGATCCTCGCAGTAGATAGCGCTATTTAAGCAATAGCGAAAATCAGACCTGAAAAAAATCAGGCCTGTACGGGATTCGAACCACTGACCTCTGCGATACTAGTGCAGCGCTCTACCAATTGAGCTAACAAGCCAACTGGGAGCAGGCCGTTAAGTTGATTCGTAATAAACCCGTGAAAGTGATAAATGAGATACAATGAATATATGAAGTTCATATATTTTGAACTGCGGTATTAGATACGTATGATGCACGATCCTCGCAGTAGATAGCGCTATTTATGCAATAGCGAAAATCAGACCTGAAAAAAATCAGGCCTGTACGGGACTCGAACCACTGACCTCTGCGATACTAGTGCAGCGCTCTACCAATTGAGCTAACAAGCCAACTGGGAGCAGGCCGTTAAGTTGATTCGTAATAAACCCGTGAAAGTGATAAATGAGATACAATGAATATATGAAGTTCATATATTTTGAACTGCGGTATTAGATACGTATGATGCACGATCCTCGCAGTAGATAGCGCTATTTATGCAATAGCGAAAATCAGACCTGAAAAAAATCAGGCCTGTACGGGACTCGAACCACTGACCTCTGCGATACTAGTGCAGCGCTCTACCAATTGAGCTAACAAGCCAACTGGGAGCAGGCCGTTAAGTTGATTCGTAATAAACCCGTGAAAGTGATAAATGAGATACAATGAATATATGAAGTTCATATATTTTGAACTGCGGTATTAGATACGTATGATGCACGATCCTCGCAGTAGATAGCGCTATTTATGCAATAGCGAAAATCAGACCTGAAAAAAATCAGGCCTGTACGGGACTCGAACCACTGACCTCTGCGATACTAGTGCAGCGCTCTACCAATTGAGCTAACAAGCCAACTGGGAGCANCTTTTGCACTGAGGAATGACTATGCATTTAGTTTCTCAATTAGTCTTGCAGGAACTCCAAGAACCACCAACGAGCTCGGAGTAGCTGCATGTCACCATTAGCAATTTCAAACAATAATAAGCAAGAAAGAGGGAGGCGAAGATAAACATTCTCACGCTCACGGGCTTCCTGAATGTAACGCAATTACATACCATCGATCGCACTGCAGTGGCGAGAAATGGTAGCATAGATAAGTTTTGAAAACGTTGGAGCGGGCTAAAGTGCATACTCTTGGCATTGAAACCACTTCTAAAGGTAACATTCTGTGTAATTATAGCCTGGGCAACTCCTTCTGACGTTAACAAAGTTTTTGTTATCGTTGGGTTGGTATTAGTTGTGAATATGGCTGTTGTGACAACATTTACCGCCTCCCGGTTAGTTCAATGGATGGAGCGCTGGACTGATGTGCGGGAGGTCGAGGGTTCGAGCCCCGGGCGGACCAACACTCAAGGTTTTTAAAATAATTGAGGAGAATATGCTGCCTTTTTATAACATCAAGAAATGGTTTAGGTATTCTAGTCTTCTCGGATAGGGACGAATAAATAGAGGTCCCGTCTCCCGCAGGGTTAGGGAGAGGACACGTCCCACGCACGAGATTACTGTGCGATGGATGTCCTCCCCTGGGGTGGGATGGGTGGGTTGTTGTTTTGCGTTTCATACATGAGCCTCTGGCTCGGGCAATATGGGTAACCATGCCCCACGTAAACACATTAAACTTTGATTACTATAAACCAACAATTTGCATATAGTAGACTATCGGAAATTGCCCAGATTGCCTTGACTTTTTGGCTTCAGGAGAAAACTCTTTATATTGAACATGAAGGAGACCTTTTTCGAAGGTTTTGTATGATATAAGAGGGAATTAGAGTGTTTAGATAATGTTTTTCTTAATGCCGGACGTGCGAGTCACGTTGGTCACATAACGCGCTTCTTAAGCCCAAATACGCTTATATAAATCGCTCTAAAAATTCGTAATTTAAGTAGCCCAAAAATTTTATTGCAGTTTCTAAAAGAAAAAATTAAACCTTGTTCTTGACAATGGTTATTGTCTCAGTTTATCGAGCCATGTAACAAGGGCCGATTTTAGTCGCCAAAGTTTAGCTATGTTTTGCTGGGTGAAATTTTACCTGAATTAGAAAATTCGTTAAAAAAATCGTTTTTTTTATGGATCCTGTAAAAAATACTTCAGAACCTTTGAAAAACATCTCTTGTTTTAGAATTATGTGGTGTCCGAATTGCTGGCGAAATAAAATTTTCTAGGCCGTTATCTTGAGGAGCACTATTTAACCGGGAAAAACACGGTTAAGAACCCCCAAAACACAAAATGCCACCGTTCTCCCAAAATAATTTTTTTCGGCATTTTTGATATTTTTCTGTAACCAAGGCCATTCATAGCTGTGTTCTGGCAAAGTTTGAAAAATTTCAATTTTTTTATTTTCAACACCTCTGCTCGATTTTTACAGACGACCATTCTTAAGAGTGACCCTTTACACCCTAACATCAGTGTGCATATTCTCCATACTGCTCTTTATACATTTGCTAAGGTGCTGCAAGGAGAATTTACTTATCAATCAAGAGCTTCTGTAGGTGTTGATCATTTCCACTATTCTCAAGACCCTAATGTTTGAGTCAGGGTTGCTAATGTAAGCAGAAATTGGATGCTAGTCACTCACTCGCTCTCAAACTGCCTCCTGGTTGGCCCAATTGGTAGAGTGCCAGACTGTTGTGCGGGAGGTCGAGGGTTCAAGACCTGGCCGGACCAACACTCGGGGTATTAAAATAACTGAGGAGAATGTGCTACCTCGTGCATCATATGTATATGCAAATTGTTGGTTCATGTTGTCACAACGGCCATATTCGCAACTAATACCAACCCAACAATAACAAAAACTTTTTCAGAAGGAATTGCCCAGACTATAATTACACAGAATGTTACCTTAAGAAGTGGTTTCAGGTATATTTGAAGTCGGGGAAAGCCATAGAGACGACTCGAGTTATTCGTTGCAACTTGACTCAAGCCGGCATCTTTTATAAATAGCTGAATAGCTCAAATCAAATTACAGCTACATAACTTTTTTTAGGAAATCACGGTGGCGGTCAGGATGGAATTCTGATGAAAACTCATGTGACCCCACTGGAACAAGTGTAGATGTTAAAGTATAAAGCTTCTGAGACTGTTGCAGAGTCATGCCTCGATCACCTTTCCGTGAAGACTTCCCATGTGGAGCCCAATCCGATGGACAGGAGCAGTTTTTTTTTATTGCATAGCCGTCTAGTTCCGCAGTCGTCTCTATGCCTGGAACAAATTGAAATTTCTTTATGGCTTTCCTCGACGTCAGATATACCTGGAAAAGCGAAGTCGTTTACTTGTTCACTCACAAGGATAAAAATACAAAGCAAAACAAACAAGCAAACCACACAAACACAAACACGAACGCACAAACACACACACACAAACGAAAACATAAAACAACGAACAAACGAAAATTTCAAATCATGGAAATTTACCTTTGATTAGAAGGTGTGCAATTCAATGCAAGCCCCGGCCCTTCCCCATCCCATTTCGTAAATTGATGCAAATATAATGGAGATAATTTCCAATGTATATAATATATATAATATATATATATAAACTTATTAAATAAATGAATGAATGGATAAATAAATAAGTAAATAAATGAAGGAATGAAAGGTTGTGAATAACTAAATTGTAGGCATAAACCAATGCTTTATATTTCATGACAACATATACTGCTAACTGGCATCCTGTTGTGTTGGATTCAAGCGTTTATGTGGATTCAAGAAATAAATCTTAAAGCAAAGATCCAGGGCATTGAACCGTATCACGATATGACCTCATTGATCTTAGTGCAAACTATAAAAGCAGGACAAAGACGGATACAGTATTTGCCTTGGCTAAACATTCTTGACANACAAGGGCCGATTTTAGTCGCCAAAGTTTAGCTATGTTTTGCTGGGTGAAATTTTACCTGAATTAGAAAATTCGTTAAAAAAATCGTTTTTTTTATGGATCCTGTAAAAAATACTTCAGAACCTTTGAAAAACATCTCTTGTTTTAGAATTATGTGGTGTCCGAATTGCTGGCGAAATAAAATTTTCTAGGCCGTTATCTTGAGGAGCACTATTTAACCGGGAAAAACACGGTTAAGAACCCCCAAAACACAAAATGCCACCGTTCTCCCAAAATAATTTTTTTCGGCATTTTTGATATTTTTCTGTAACCAAGGCCATTCATAGCTGTGTTCTGGCAAAGTTTGAAAAATTTCAATTTTTTTATTTTCAACACCTCTGCTCGATTTTTACAGACGACCATTCTTAAGAGTGACCCTTTACACCCTAACATCAGTGTGCATATTCTCCATACTGCTCTTTATACATTTGCTAAGGTGCTGCAAGGAGAATTTACTTATCAATCAAGAGCTTCTGTAGGTGTTGATCATTTCCACTATTCTCAAGACCCTAATGTTTGAGTCAGGGTTGCTAATGTAAGCAGAAATTGGATGCTAGTCACTCACTCGCTCTCAAACTGCCTCCTGGTTGGCCCAATTGGTAGAGTGCCAGACTGTTGTGCGGGAGGTCGAGGGTTCAAGACCTGGCCGGACCAACACTCGGGGTATTAAAATAACTGAGGAGAATGTGCTACCTTTCTATAATATCAAGAAATGGATAGATATTCTAGTCTTCTCGCATAAGGACGAATAAACTGTAGGTCCCGTCTCCTGCAGGGTTAGGGGTAGGAGACGTTAATTCCCCACGCACGAGATTACTGTGTGGTGAATTTTATCACAGTTGATAAACTGTGATAAAACCGTTATTATTATTCTACAGGGTTAAAAGGTGAAGGACTATTATTGTGATTAAATTCAAGAGATGCAAAACAAAATTGGCATAACTTACATTTAATGGTTAACAAATTGGTTATATTGAATGGAAAATTACACTTTGCTTCAGAACTTTTGGCTGGATACTGTCACCATCATAACATAACAAATCAAACAAAATTATCCCATTCCATCAGCTCTGTACGCTCCATAACAAACCTCGGCAAAGAAGATTCATTAGTGTACCAAAAGCAATCTATGAAATTGCAGACTTATACCCTAAAAAAAAGTATAGGATCTTATTTATCAAGAAGCTACCATTTCATGCCCAGTTTTGGTACAAAACTCGAGGCTTATCTACAGTAGAATGACACAGCAGATGGGTGTGATCACGGGGAAACATTTTTTTAAATTCTCATCAATGATTCAGATTTGTTTTGGGCAAAGGAAATAAGAGTGGGCAGCACCTGTATCACACAAATGGAAGTTCAGATTAATATGAAAGGGACACAGTTTCAAAGGGAAGAAACTGGCTGCATGCTGAGGCAACAGCTTCACTGCTTTTCATCATTTTCATCTTCATCATCATTGTTTGAAGTCCACAGCTGTGAGAAATGAAATGAAGACCGGATTGTAATAGGATACAAACAATATTCACTAAGCCTGAGACAAATAATTTTTGTAAATGAGTGTAAATGATGAGGTGCCTTCAAATTCTGTTGTACATTCATTTTGTTGTCGAAACCATTCTGTATATAAACAAAGCTCTGCGCACATTGTTTTCAATACTTGTACTGAGATAAGCAGCTACTTCCCACTAGAATTTCACAGGTTTATTCAATTTACTGCAATCAATAAAACCTTCATACCTTACTTTTGAAAAGGGTGTTACACCAAACTTTGTAGCATCTCTTGTGCTCTTTTGGAATCAAATCTTCTACTATTGTGTTTATAACTTCCTCCATAACATTGCCAAAGTGCAAGGCGCCATTTATGAAATTCAGTACCTCTGCTAAAGTCACCTCTTGCAAGGTGATTATACTAAGATATGAGATAATCCTTGACCAATCAGAGCAGGAGAATCTCCGTAATCACCTAAGCAATTATCCTAACCCTGTTTTGAACTAGGTTTACCTTCACTAGATTTGCAATTCATGACTACCTATTCACTAATCATGAGATTTCTTTACATTTCACCGGACTACAATTTAGGATTGCAGTATAATGAGTGTTAAAGTAAAAATGATCATTTCTTCACAGTTTCTTCCAAAAGGCAGTTCTTATCATTTTCCATTCTCCGACATCCACTCTCTTCTACACTGGACTTGACCCTTTGGCTCCCACAAATGACCAAGACAGAATTTCTCCTTACAATATCAATACAATATCAAGCAGACAAATGATGAAAGTAAAGCAAAATATCTAATAGAAGAAGTTTAGCTCATCCAATACCAAATTATCATCGCAAGAAGTGCATGGCAGAAGTAGAAGTATAATTACTAATGAGATCGTGAGAGTGAAAGGTTCAATCCTCAGGCACTGGAAATGTTTAAGCTGGAGAGTGAACCACTCTGTTGACCCTTTACACCATAACATCAGTAAAGATGCTCTCAGTGCCGTTCTCTATACATTTCCTATGGTATCTATAGGAAATAGAGAACAGTAAAGAGAATATGCAGACTAAAAAAAAAATAAATAAATAAACCAAATGTACACTTACAGTTAAGTTGTCACGCAATAGTTGCATTATAAGAGTGCTGTCTTTATAGGAATCCTCTTTTAGACTGTCAAGCTCAGCAATTGAATCATCAAATGCCTAATATAAACAAATAAATTATAAAAAAAATTATTAACAAATTTATTATAAAAAAAATTCATTCTTAGCTTTGCTTTCCCTTAAATGTATCTTATAATTAGGGGTCATCCACTAGATTAGCCTTTGCTATTTGGATGATCCTAACTCGCTACCTACTTTATTGCTAGATCTTTTTCTCTTTTTTCCTTTGCTGAACTGTGTTTAGTTGCTATGTAAATTTAACCTATATAACTTGTAAAATCAAGCCGAGTTTAAATAAATAATCATCATAAACCAAATCATAATGATGTTCAGAGAAGTGCAATCCATGGTTTATACTCCTTCAAGAAACTATCTTAGTTTTTTAATTCTTAGAATTTTCTTTGTTATCATTAGCATAGATGCTGACCAATAAGCTGCACTGGCAGAGGAGCTGCATCTTGAGTTTTGGAAAAAAAAAAATCCAACAGTTTTCAAAGGAAATCAAAAGATGTCACAAGTGGAGTGTTGAGAGTGTTACTCTACATTTTTTTGGTTCATCCAATGTACACAAATCTAAACTTGTCAACATTATTGGAAACAGAAAATTGACTTCTGTTTGATCCTACTCTGGTATTGTTGAGCCAGCATTTTTTTCATTCCTGTCAGATTCTCAATGGAATTTTACAAAGAACAGGAAACCTTGAGTTCATTCATTGGGTTGTTCACAGCTGGGCACTGGACACAAGAGGCATATTTCTGCTGAAATGACTGTAAATTGCTTCGCAGCGGAATGAAGTCAAGTGACATTTAGCTAATTGGCTACCAGTTAAACCACTTAAATCCGGGTTCGAGTCCGAGCTGGGACATTGTGTTGTGTTCTTAGGGCAAGACACTTTACTCTCACAGTGGCCTCTCTACACCCAGGTATATAAATGGGTACTGGCAATTTAATGCTGGGGGTAACCCTGCGATGGACTGGCATCCCATCCAGGGGGGAGTACAAATAGTCCTGGTCGCTTCATGCTACAGAAACCAGAGTTAACCCATTGACACTTACGTGTAACACGTGCCGACGAAAAGTAAAAAATTTGGAGAAACCAAGAAGGCAAACACAATGTGCAGTAAATTTTTAAAAATCAGCGTTTCCAAAAAACAAGCTCCAGTGAAAGAGGACTAATTAAAGAACTTATTTCCAGCGAAAAAAGCGATAGGTGCATATTACGTTTTAACTCAAAAATCAAGATGAAAGATAAAAATCGCTAAATATTTTCGCATGTGTGAAAATGGGCATGTGGATCATATTTCAAAAGGGAATATGCAAATTTGTCCGTGAGTGAAGAGATCTCAAGTTCCATGGAATCTATCAATAGGAAGCAAGACTAAAATGGCCAAGAAATATTTCGGGACGTNGTGGACCTTCAGCACTATCCACTGTTTTAGTATACGCTAAAAATACTATTATCATGTAATTTCCGAATTGTAGGTAGTTTATTGTAAGTTAAGTCCTGTAATCCCAAGTAGCTTATCACAACTGTTGAACCCTGTAGTTCTGATTGTATACCAACCTTTTTAGCCAATTTACAAGCTTGGTCTGGTGCATTCTTAATTTCATAGTAAAATACAGAGAAGTTAAGTGCCAATCCAAGCCTGATAGGATGAGTTGAAGGTAGCTTTATCTCACTTAGTTCAAGTGCTTTCTGGTATGACTCTTCCGACTGTTTAATTATTTCTGAAAGTAAAAACAGAAAATTGTTGATTATTTTACAACTGGAAGACATCACAAATTTCACTCAAACGTTTCAATAATTAAGTACTTAGATACTCCTAGCTCCCTGAAAAGGAAAGGGCCTTTTTAACTCTCCCACTTAGATTGTAAACCTCCTCTCAGGACCCGAAATTAATGCTCACGAACTTGCAAAATGCAAGTGATTTAGATAATCTGCAAGTAAGAAAAATATCCACTAGCAAATGTTGGAAAGTGAGAATTGTCCATGTCTCCTAAACATTTGGAGAAAGCTGTTTGAAAGCAGGAAGGAATGTAAGGATGATATCTGGGGCAAATAAAACAGCAGATGCAGATCTTTTTGTTCACCACTAGCCAGTGTTATTACACTGAGGCTCTGATTCACACCTGCGCATTGGCCTGTTGTTGTTGCTCCTAGTGGTTTTGGAGTTATCGTTTTCATTACATGTGTAAAAAATAACTTCTTTCTTCAAGAGTAACAGTGCCAGTGCCTGTGAATTGCTAGTGGAAAATATCTTACCAGCCAAGCTGCAAGTGGACTAAAAAGTTAACTTCAAGCCCTGCCTCTACACTCTGGTAAAGGATGTTCAATTTTCCAAGCTGCAATTGTTTTGGCCACCAAGATGAGTGGAAAGAAATTTTAGCAATTAAATTTGCAAGGAAAGTTGCCAATTTAGAGACAAACATTCAGTGGTCACATAGAAAGCTGTGGCATTTTTTAATGCTATAAGCATATAGTTTAAATATTATATTGTACAAGATAACGTTCTTGACTTTTTTTTTTCCTGGAAAGTAGGTAGGATAAGCTATGGTAGTTGCATTGATTGTTGCCATTTTGCAAAAAATTTCAACAACTTTTTCCCACCAATTTACCACCAGTTGCTCTGAACTCAGTAAATAGAGACCCTAAGCAAACCATGAAGGTGACTAGGACACCTAAGTACCTGGGCAGAACAATAGCTAAGGACATGAGTTTTAAACCTTTGCAGATTTCTTAGCTTTCCTCTGCAAAACAACAACATGAAATCCCCAAAAATTGCATGGTCTGAGAACATAAACCCCGACTACAAATTACTTAAGTTTCCATGTGAACATCAATGCAGCTCCCAAGTTTTACTAAAGTGTAACTAAAAGCAGAAATTCATTTTTAAATCAACATCTTCCTTGGCACTGCTGTGCTGACTGGTTAAGGGACCTAAAGAATTATGCAGGCTGAGATATCAACTCCCTAAAAGTACAATACCAAGAGAAAGCACGTTTGTACACCTGGTGCAATAGAAAGATCTTCTCCTCTTGACCAAGGGTTCTTGGGATCCATTCCTAGTGGCAGCATGTTTTCACATTTCCCTTTTTCTTCAAAAGCACGTTTTTATATCTATTTCACCCAGAGCCTAACGAATTACTATGCAGTAAACAGTACTTAATGCAGAAGCATTTGTTGTTCCTTTTCCAGGTTTTGAAAAGGTTGAAGGTTTTTTTCATTCTAGAGTACAATCAAGTAAAATCAAAATGTTTCTCCAAGTGATTATCAAATTTCATTGCTAAGCTCACCAATTAATCATAATAAATGAATTACTACTGATTTAATGGTTAATATCACCAACTGATTTCTACTGATTGGTAACTCACCAAGTAGGGATACAACTCTTCCAGCAAATCAAGATTAAACGATCTAAGCCTTTGTGTAAAGAGTTCTGAATCGTTACAGATAGATGGTTTCTGTAAAAAACCTAACAAAGTAGAAAGCTGACCTTACATCGAACTGGAATGCGAACAACTTGTACGTCAGAGTTGGCGAGTTAAAAACATCAATTTCTTTAGCAATTAAGTTTGAAAGTAAGATTGATCATGGTCGTACGAGAGTCAATGAGCCAAATACTAACCCTCCTTATCAGATGAACTTTGTTGAGCAACTTCTGCTTTGTACCTCAAGTAGTCCCCTTTCATCTTCAGATAGAAAATCTGGCCTTCATAATGCTGGTCGATTTCAGGATCATCCTTGTCTTTTATGAGGAACTGTTCCAAAAGATTCTGTGGAAAGAGATTTTGGAATAAACTAAAACGCGAGTGAAAAGCTAAGAACTTTGACCCATAAAAATTGGCACCAAGAAATTACAACAACTTCCGTAAAGGTAGGAGTACTTTTAGACGCCGAAGGAAGGGTAGACTCACCAGAACATCTTCGCAGATTGTTCTTAATTCCTCCTCGATTTTCTTCCTATATTCATCCAAGACCGACTTCTTGTCCTCAGTTCCTTCATATTTCTCCTCTAAAGCTGACATAACTCTCCAAGAAGCACGCCTCGCTCCGACCACATTCTTGTAAGCGACAGAAAGTAGATTTCTCTCTTCACTTGTAAGATCTACTTTGTCACCTTTTTTACTTTCTGTTGCCTCCTTCATGAACTTTGCCATGTCATCGTATCTTTCCATTTGCTCCGCGAGCTTTGCTCTTTCTACTCTTTCGTCTGTCGCCATCGTAATTAGAGCCACAATCCGACTAAAATATGCCGGGTTTTGCCCACCTTGTAGCTAACTTACCAATATGGCTGGACGCGTAAGAGAGTGTAATGAGCGGGCGTGCTTCAACCTAGCGTATGCGGGGGGTCTTGGCATCGCCGTGGAAACTCATGACGTTTACTCATAAATTATAACTTCTATGCATAAATTATTGAAGCGGGTTTTTTATTTTTCAGAGTAAAACAAAATAGGGTTTTATGTTAACGGGAATGAATATGTCTTGGACCCGACTCGGGGCCGTTAGGTGAGGGTTAAAATGCCTCTGAGATGGACCAAAACAAATTTACGCCTGATGAAATAAACTCTTCTTTTTATTTCCTCTGAGGATCAACTTGTTACTTACCCACAGACCGAATATGATTTGATTCATTTATAATTCATCTACATAAATCATGATGGAGTTAGGCTCGAAATTTTCTTTGAAAGGAACGATATAAGAAAAACGATATTGTGAAGGAATTCACGTTGATTATCCCCCCATTTTTTTTTTTCTCTCGAATATATCTTATATCTTGTCCTTCAGGAAGGACTCTTACGGAGACAAGATATCCTCGTCACGATGGGGAGGGGACGGAAAGTAGGGGGAGAAAGAGAAAGGGGGAGAGGGGGGCAGAGAGGGAGGAAACTGCCCCCCTCTCCCTGTACACACTCCTCCGTCTCCCCTCTCGGACATATTTCTCTGTTCCCTTCCCACACGGACACAAAGCAATTTTACGAAAGCAAAGCAATTTATTTGACTAGTCGTCTTCTAGCACAGTCTTTATGGCGAAGCATGGTCGCTCATCGCACATCAGTCTTTTTTACTTCCCATCCACTGATGGGTATCCAAGCTGGGCTCGATTATACCAGACGCTACCTGCGCTCCTCCCCTCGAACCCACTCTCTTTCTTCTCGGGGAGGACCAAAGATCGAAGACGAGAGAGCGGCGGTAATCGAGCTTATGTGCATCCTAAACCCAACTTATCCTTCAGTAGCCCTCTTTTCCTCTCCACATTTAGCAGAAACAAATTTCAGACATTCACCCAGTAAGTTCGAGAACCGGAAACTTCGATCTCGACTTCCTCCACTCTTGACCCCTCGGAAAATTAGAATTTTGCGCGCGCTACAGTATCTATTGATTGCGCATGCCAAAATTAAGAGGCCGAAAAGACCCTGAGACCGGTCAGGTCAGAAACCGATTAAGCGATCAGGTAGTATCACATCGGTAAGTGAAGCAGTCTGACTTTCTATTGGGCAGTAAGAAATTTATTTATTCAATCAGAATTAGTCGAGGCTTGACTTTTCAGGCTTCATAAGCGTACTTCTTCCGAAGCTTAGATCTGGAGAAAACTTCCAATGGCATTTTAATGGACTCCATAACATAGTTCCATGTGCCTGTACATGTGCATGAAGGGGTAGGCATTGTTGCAAGGATGAAGTTATTCATTAGTTAATGTAATCGGCAGGTTTCCCCAGGGGAGGATCCTAGATTCTGGCTGTATTTAACAGATTTTCAATGTAGTTTTCCATTGCACATTGAAATCAAAATTTGTATGGAGTGGATAGAACTGAACACGGGGGATGCAAGTAATTTGTTGCCAATTCTTTAATCAGTGATCAATTTTTGTTAGAAGAGTTGATTTTTTTTTTTTTTTTTCAGAAAAACGTTTCTTAACATTTTGGAAGCTGACTAGATTTAATCTCTGAAGATTAGCCCCCAGCATTTCATTTTGTTTCCCTGACAGTTTTCCAGTTGTAGTCATGCTAATGTTTGGAGACTAGTGGTGATGTGCAATTTGATTGTTGTACCCCCAAATAACCCCAAAGTGCTCAAACCGGAATCTCTCATTCCAGGGTTTGGGGAGCATGGTATCTTCCATCATTAGTTATCACTTGAAGCCTAGAAATTAATTAAAAATTATTCCATGAGCGCGCATTGGATATGAGATGATAGATAGCCAACGAGGCGCTACGCGCCTCATTGGCTATAATCATCTCATATCCAACAAGCACGAGTGGAATAATTGTTTTATTAAAAGAAAACCCCCAAGATATTAGACAAATCTTCTCGACTTTATTTTGTAAGAAGAAAGCAGATCTTGCAATGTACAGATCTTAGATTATGGTATATTGGCTCATATACCATAATGGCTAAGCCAATAAAAAGTCTTGAATTGCATTATCCAATGATCCAGTTTTTAATAATTTTCACTTTTCATCCCTTATTTGGTAGGACTCTTATGATCATCCAATGTCATCGTCATCATCTCAGCTTGTGCAATATGTTGTGGTTAGAGGTGATCTCCTAAGGTTGCTGTCATGGCCAATGGGAGCTGTAATAGCACAAGCCTGTCATGCAAGCACAGCAGCTCTTTGGATGTATCGTGATGATTCTAACACACTCCAGTACACCAGTGACCTGGATAATATGCACAAGGTTGTGTTAGAGGTAAGCTTTACACCCTAACATCAGTATGTATAATCTCCATACTGTTCTCTATACATTTCCAAAGGTGCTGATAAGGAGAATTTGTTTAATAATCAAGGGCATCTTTAAGTGGTGATCATTTCTTTTAATCTCATGACCATAATATGGGGTAATTGGGGTAATAAATAAGGTGTAATTTAAGCATAGACACAAAAATCCCAAAAGTGGCCTGAAAATCTGTCCAAAAATTACCTAAAAAAATGTCTCAATCTCATTTTTTGTATATTATCCGCTAAAGTTAATGACATGATTTGTATAAAAATTGAGATTCCTGTGGTGAAATTGCTTAGAAGCACCTTCGAACAGATTCAAATTGACAATCTATTTACTGCACAGTGTAAGTGGTTGGTTAGCTTGGTCTCCTTACATATTTCTCTTTTAAACAAGAGATAACAACAATAAACACTGAGGCCTTACAGTCATGCTAAGCGGGCATGCTGGAAACACTACTTATGCCCTAAACTGTTGACTGGTAATAATGATAATAATATTAATAATAATAATAATAATAATAATAATAATATAATATTTGTTAATTGAAGCTCCCCTATAACGGCTTTTCAGCCACAATGTAGACTAAGTGCTTGAAAATCCCCACTGGCAGGAGGTAGACCACTGGGCTATTTACACAGTGCAGCGAAGGAGTTGAACCAGGGGCAATCGGGAACAAATCCAGTGGGTGGCAGGGTGGAGGACTTGAACCCAGGACACCAGATTACTAGTCCAGCACCCTAACCACTCAGCCACGCCGCCTCCGTCAATATTACTTCATATGGAAGAAGCTGGTTTGGAAATAAACAGGCTAATGGAAGAACTTCAAAGATCCTGAAGCTTCTGCAGACCACATCATGAATTTGATTTTATGTCATTGGCTATATTTTCTAAACATTTTTGTCTAAAATTCCTAATATGTTCTCAAAATCTTCCAAATTTCCAAAAAAATCCTGTCTAAGTCTAAAAGTTCTTTAAAAAAACTGTGGATTTTTGTGTCTAGCTTTAGAGAAGAAGAGTTGAAAATTAAATGCACTGCTCCTCTTCTACTTGAACAGAAAACCCCAAAAATTATTTCCTACATGAAATTTCAGTCATCTCAATCCACAAAAATTTGTTTCCACAAGCCGCAAAAAAAACCCACCAATCCATTGAATGAAACTCCCTCAAAAGTCTCATGCTACATGGTATTAATCTTAGAAGTTCTGATATAAAAGTGGACAACTAACTTTACCGACAGATCAAAACAGACCAATCACAACCAATTTATGCCACTTGAATCCTACAGCCAATAACATTGCAGCAAAACTGACCAATCATTGTACGTGAACTGGACTAAGAACATTATACTGACAGCATCTATTCACTTGACTCTGATGATGACTTCTGCACAGGTTGTCCAAATGTCAGTCACCACCACCGACAACAGTCCTTCTCAGGACTGCGCTCACCTGGACGATTGCACTACACTTTCACACATGACTGTATCAAATTTCATGTAAAAACCATTGCTTTGAATGTAAATGAAAGATTCTTTTTTTTCTCACTCAGGCCCCCAGTCAAAATGAACTCAAGAAATTGTCAGAGAATTTATCAGCCAATGAAATAGATTACAAACTGTGGATTGAACAACCAGAGAACTTTCCTACGTGTCTTGCAACCAAACCTTATCCGAAACAACAAATACAAAGTTATTTTAAAAAGTTTAAATTGTTTAAATAAACTAAAATATTTATGTGGTCATCTGGGGAAGCTTTGTAAAGATTCACTTCTAAGTGGTTATGAAATTGTCAGACATAACCAACCCTGTCACTCCCAAGATCTGATTGTTAATTCTCTCCTCTCACTGCTAAATATTTGTAAATTAGTTACAAGAATTTGGGTTTGGATCAAGAAAACAACTTCTATCTGATACGTCTGAGTATGCTCATTACCTGTTTGCTGCAAAATATATAGATTTAATAGGGAGAAGTTACATGTTAATCATCTCAGGGAGTTAAAGGGTTCGAGTAGAGGTTGTATATCTTCTTGTGATATTATCCTTTATCCTGTTGCAATAATCTTGATTTTGTTATTATGACACTCTGTCTGATTGAGCTTTGTTCAAACCTGATCCACTGGTAAGATTTAAGTTGGTATTCTTGGCTTGGTGCAACAGAAATGTAGCAGTCTACAGTATGGATAAAGCTGCCACCCATACCCTTGTTATGCAGGCGGGGTGGCCTCATGATTGGTGCGCCCGACTCTGGATCGAGTGGTCCGGGTTCAAGCCCCATCTGGGGACATTATATTGTTCTTAGGCAAGACACTTTACTCTCACAGTGCCTCTCTACACCCAGGTGTTTAAATGGGTAGCGGCAAATTTAATGCTAGGGGGTAACCCTGCGATGGACTAGCATCCCATCCAGGGGGGAGTAGAAATACTCCTAGTCACTTCATGCTACAGAAACTGGAGTTAAGCATCGGCCTGATGGGCCACTGGCTCGTAAACAGACTTTACCTTTTTTTACATACCCTGGTTAAATTAATTTTGGTACCCTTGGCTTGGCTCAACAGAACTGTAGCATCAATTCCAAAATGAATAGTTGACAGAAGGACCATTTTGTCTCTAGGGAGGAGGGCGGCAAATTTTCTGAGCTTGTATTTTATTTTTGTGGCTTTCTTCCTCTTCTTTGCATACCTGGCCAGCCATCTTTGGAATACTTTACCATGCAATGCTAGAATTACTGGTAATGTGAGTACTTTTAGAAGTATAATGAACAAACTAAACCTTGTACGGTTTATTTATTGCTAAGCACCATAATAGGAATTTGTTATTGTGCCCTGCACATGATTATTTATAGTCTTTTATACTTATGTAATTTTCATTATTTTCAGTATTTTGTAATTGCATGGATGCAGTGCAAATGAGTATGCTAAATGCTCCCAGGTGTGATGTGGATTAATAAAATATCTTATCTTATCTCTTCCTAAAGCTCAATTCACCCAGTTTTTGGCTGTGATTTTTTTTGGAAGACACTATTTGGGTGGCTTTCTAAAAAACCACCACCATTAAAAAAGCAGTCTTTCCTAAAGCTACAGAAGTCAGTGACAAAAAAAATTGTTAGATAGACGGAGCTTTCCAACTGCGAAAACAAACTTGTTATTGGACATATCCATGAATTTTCTCAAATGGGCACCTCAACCCCATCATAAAATTTTTACTGCATACTGAAGTGATTTGAATTACATTTTTCTTGTTCTTCAAAATAATTTGGGTTTTTTTGGACAAGAATCATTGATGGTAAATTGTCATAAATTTTGTCGCCCGTGCCTTAGCTAGGCCTTGTTGGACAGATTACATAATAAGATCACGTCGACTTATGCCAGAAATATTTTGGAGCAGGAAGCTAGAAGCGTTGTTACGTGACGAGACAACAAAGGATGCTGGGGAGGCATCATGGCGGAAGATGAGAAACCCGCCATAGTAAAGAGAGTGAAGAAAGAGGAAGGCAGTAAAAAAGAAATTAACCTCACCGATGAACTTTTGGTGAGCTTACCGGTGAAGGATTTAAATACTATTCTGCGAGGTTTCACTGACGATGAGATTTATCGCATCAAACAGCGAAGGAGAACATTGAAGAATCGGGGTTACGCTCAAAATAGTCGGACCAAGCGCGTGCGCCAGAAGGAAGATCTCGAAGTCGAAAGACAACAACTCCGCGAAGACTTAGAGCAACTTGCCAAAGAGAACGATAGCTTGAAGAGAGAACGTGACGAAGCGAGGAAAAAATACGATTCGTTACAAAAATTATTGACTAACAGGACGAAAACTGTGGGTCTGCAATTGATTGATGGGGTTGGCCACGAGTCTTCGTCAACTGGCGACCACGAGATCCAAATCGACGTGGTGGGAGACGAAGAAGAAAAAAGTAACTTTAAAGATTCACAAGATTCCGATCTTTCCGACGATTATCGATCGAGGTCAAGGAAGTCTTCGTTTCGATCGTCAGACGAAGGAGAAGAATCTCGATGAATGAACTCGAATATTATCAAGTAAGACACAGTGTACGAACATTTACGGTCTTTGTTTACAAACGACAAGATATAGAATGCAGACAATACAAATCCCGAGTAAAAACCCTAGTCATATTTCTGATCGTAGTAAAATTCTCCATATCTTTACGAAAGACCCTTATTTCGATAGAAATGCAATATTTTGGTAATACAGTGTGTTCTAAGACGTTTCTGTGTAATGTTCGTAGATGTGTAAATATCCGCTGTAATCACGTATACAAATGTATGTAAAGTCCTGGTGTACAAACAGGTAAAATTCCTCAAAATATTTTTAACATTTCATTCCGCGTTAAAAACGGTTAAACTTTCGATTTCATATCTCGTCTTGTTTGCCTAAATGTCTAATCGCCGTAGGAAAAGTTTCTTGTACATATATTTTTATCTTTTACAAAGGTGAGTGGTTGCAGTTTCTAGACTGTACTACAAATTGTAGTCTTCATTGAATCAATGAACTTTGAATGAATCTCAACGTGAAAAAAATATCTAGGCCTTCGAATGCATTTCTGTTTCTCTTTAGATCGAATTTAACTTGTTCCTGTTAGATTCTGCTCTATGAATGAATATATCACCATTATTTTCAATATTGGTCATGCTGACAATGCAGTTTTTAATTTATGGGTGTGGTCCTTTTATACATTTTAATTAAAAAAAACTGAAATGCATTTTGATTATTTCCATTGAAATCGGTGAAGGTTTCACAACTTCAACTTGTATAAAAGAGAAACAAAGCTGATAGAACCTTTTGTTTTAATGATGATTACCAAATTGAATTTAACTATTTGGATTATTACAGCTGACATTTTCACAACCAAACAGTGAATTCCAAACAGGGGTCAGTGTTTGCCCTTCATTCAAACTCATTGAAATTTAATTCAATTCAGTTATTTGAAACTTTTCACAATTCAATTTCAGCAAAACAGTGAACCCTTTAACCCTAAAATATCAGTATGTATATTCTCTGTACCGTTCTTTACACATTTCTTAAGATGCTGACAAGGAGAATTTAACAATCAAGAGCTTCTTTAGTTGTTGATCATTTCCTTTATTCTCGTGACCTTACTGTTTGATTCAGGGGTGATATTGTAAGGAGAAATTAGATATTAGTCAATCTTGGAGGTCAGAGTTAATTGAGTTTGGATTATCACAGCAAGAACCTTTATTATTATTCTTATTATTATTATTATTATCATCATCATCATCATCATCATCATCATCATCTCTTTTGTCACAGTCTTTTCTGGTGTTCTTTTTGTGCATCAGCCGGGAGCAAACCATACACCTGGAGCATCAGTAACTTTAGTCAATCATGCTGTTCATACACTGAGCACCTTTCTAAGGGTTTGCGCCGATCTCAGCATGCAGATCTTATTATTATTATTATTATTATTATTATTATTATTATTATAATTTATTTAACAATTTCCCTAAGGCAGGTAAATTTACAAGGACAAGGTTGTTTTTTACTAGGTAACCTACCTTTCCTTATCCCCTACTCCAATTTCAGTACAGGCCACACCACAACACTGGGAGCTACATTCCCTACTCTTTGTGATAAGTGTGTGGGTTCTTTAACTTTTCCTGCTAACCAGTAGAGGGAAGATGCAGGGGACAGGGCCTACGGTTTTTTTGTCCTTTTCTGAGAAGACTTAGATTGTCTATCAATTTCTTGATATAATAGAAAGGTAGCACATTCTCCTCAGTTATTTTAAGACCCCAAGTGTTGGTCCAGTTTGGGGCTCAAACCCTCGACCTCCTGCAAGGCAGTCCGGCGCTCTACCACTTAAGCTAACCAGGCAGCAGTTATGATTTGATATCAACCTCCTCTTTCCTCCCCCACATACATCTTTCATGGAGACAATTAAAACAGGGATAAAAAAAATCAACAAATCAAAACACTCACAATATGTTTTCACCCTCAAATCCATACTCCATATCCCTAAGCTGCCAAACTGGAAGATTTTGAGTTTTCTAGGGGAGAGAATTAATGGTCAGAACTTGAAAGGCAATGGGTTTATCGATTCTCTGGGGAATGCTAGACTATATTGTTCTGATGCTGGAACAGTTCCAACTGAATTTGGCACAGCTATCACCATCATCGAAAAATATTTCACCAACTTCTCACAAATCTGAGAGCATGAATATCTTCTGCAAATAAGATATCAGGGTCCAGTTGTTCGAAGGCTGATTAGCACTAATCGAGGGTTAAATTTTGATTCAGGTCTCCTTATTTCTCTATTCAAGAACCTTTATGAGATAATTTTCCTCTTCTTTTTAGAGCATCCGATCATCAAATTGTAGACACAAAATAATTAAACTGAACTTTCTCCTAAAGCTTTCAGATCTGAAATCAAATTTCACGCCAACCCTGGGTTAACTTAACTCAGCTTTGAACAACCCAGCCCTGGAGACTTGTGTGACCTGATTGCAAAATCGCAGCAGTAGAGGTCAAATATTGCAAAGTTGTTAACATCAGAGAGTTTCTCCCAGTTTTCATAGTAGAGGACAAGTATCACTGTTCAGAGGGAGGTGCGGTAACCTCACGGTCAGTGTACTTGACTCCAGATCAGGTGGTCTGGGTTCCAGCCCTGGCTGGGGACTGCATTGTGTTTTTGGGCAAGATACTTTCCTCTCACAGTGCCTTTCTTCACGCAGGTGTTTAAATGGGCACCAGCAAATTTAATGCTGGGGGTAACCTAGCAATCAGCTAGCATCCCATCCAGGGGAGGAGTAGAAGTACTTCTAGTCACTTTGTTTGTTAACGACTTCACCGGGTGTGACTAGACCCGGAAGGGTTAGTGCAAACAAAACACAAGGTCCATGCGAAGCACCACCCCTCCCCCCAATTCACCCCCAGTAAACCCACCCATCCCACCCCAGGGGAAGACATCCATCACACAGTAATCTCGTGCGTGGGAAATTAACATCTCCTGCCCTTAACCCTACAGGAGACGGGACCTCCAGTTATTCGTCTCTATCCGAGAAGACTAGAATATCTAACCATTTCTTAATGTTATAGAAAGGTAGCAAATTCTTCTCACTTATTTTAAGACCCTGAGTGTTGGTCCAGCCGGGGCTCAAACTCTCGACCTCCCGCACAACAGTCCTGCGCTCTATCCATTGAGCTAACCGGGAGGTCGTGCTATGGAAGCTGAAGTTAAGCACATTTGGACAAGTTTTTTTCCAATCATTGTTCAGAGAATGAGCCTGCTCTCCTGCCACAAAGAGCTCCTACTCAGGGGGTTGAAAAGCTAAATCCAAGAAAACAGAGGAAATTGAGGCTAAATTTGAGACCAGACTTGATTACAAGCTGCTATCAGACCTTCAGGCACAGTGAAAGCAAAGTGTCTTTCTAAAGTGTGAGGAGCAATCCTGAACTGTTAGGCCATTGTGTAGTCCTGTGATGGATTCCAACCTCTCCGCAATTAGACGTGTCATTTTTTTTTTTTTAGGTAGGATGCCTATGGCAGACCACATTCAAAATTTGCTTAAGTGTCATTGAGGTCAGATATAGAAATTAACCATATGCTTGTACTTCTCACTGAAGTTGACCCTTATTAACTAGAGTTACTACTTGGATGGGTGACTTCACATAATATCCCAAATTTTCAACTAGCAATAGTTGATGTGGGTGAAGCATTGCCTGATAGAAAGTGAGAGCCAATAGTCCAACATTTCAGTATAAATCTGCAAGTAGTGCAAAACTAAAAATGGTGTTTCTTGGACAGTACAATTATGTCACGCTTCATATGCTACTCTTTTTATTTAATAACTATGTGCTCCTTCTGTGTTTCCTTCCTATTTAACCCATTCACTCCCAAGATCTGATTGTTAATTCTCCCCTCTAGCTGCTACACATTTCCTTCTAAATTAGTCATGAGAATTTGGTGTTGATCAACCCATCAACTTCTCCCTAAATTTAAATTAGCCCTTCTGGCCTCGTTCTCCAGTACAAAATTCAAAAGAATACATTATCTCAAGCGAGGCCAGAAGGGCTAATTTAAATTTAAACAAAAGAATATTAATCTGGCAGCCATTCATGAAAGTGGTCTATACGTTTGAGTATTCTCAAACATAAACAAAATAACAAAGTTGGGATATTAAGGGGGTAAACAAAATAAATTAGAGATGAGGTGGTGGTAAACAATCACAACGACAAAAGAAAAACAGACGCACTCTTTTATTATAAATTACAAGTCAAATATAATGAAGTAATTTATGACCTTCCCTGCACATGAACCTAGTTTAGCTACAAAATATACATTTGCTGTGGCTACTCAAGAAAATTATCAAACTAAAGGCAGGTTGAACTCTGCATAATTTCAACTGAATTACACTCAAGAAGGGTACAAGTTACACAAACTGTTTAGGAACTATAAAATCCATAGGGTTAATAAAAAGAGTGCTATCATCCCAATGCTCTTAAACTGTTTGTTTTTTTCTGTAAAGACGGCACATTTAGAGTCAACTTTACTTTTCTTCACACCACTCATTTTCTTTGCGAACCTGTCATGAAAAATGAAGGTGAGATATGTTAGATATGGTTACTCTACTGGCCAGAAAGAGCAGATTAAATTTTTGGTTTGCTGATTCATCCAAGATTGAGATTGTGACATTCATAGGATAAAGATACCACAAACTGCACATAATGAACTGGTTTTTGAGACACAATCTGCACTATTGTTCCTTAGTTTTGCATTAAAAAATATCCCTTTGCCATTGTAAAGTTGCAGAGACCTTTCACAAAATTCTTTCTACTCCCCTTGATATTCACAAATGCAATACTTACAATAGTCCATACACGTGTGTGTCATACGATGGATGGCTCAAACCATGCCATTTGTTTGTTTTATTTTGGACTATTTCCTTGCATAATTTTTGCGTGCTTTTTTAAGATATAGTTGCTTATTTGTTTGTGAGCTTGTCTCTTTGGCTGTTCCTCAGCCTGCCAATCAAGCCATTTATTCATTTTGGAACATAATGAACTGAACACAGGGGTCTGATGATGATGTCAGCTCAAAAGTTAAAACATCAGTCATCATCCTCGACAGCAACAGTCTCATTCAGATGGTCACACCAGGCCGCCATGTTCAAAGGTTGGATGACGCGATCAACTGAATAAATCTCTATGCAGTACATTTAGCGCAGTACATTATGCCATTCCTTATACATTAGATAGCGATTTATCCCTTGTATAGTGTTACCCACCCCCTTTGAACAACTGGGCTCAGATGATTAACTGTAAATTCAGGATTCAAACCATCAAAATAATTTTTTTCTTTCTTTGCTCATTCATCCATAAAATATTTGTTTGCTTGCAATTTTTCTAAAGGGGAAGATATAAAATCCAACCTGTTCTTCTTCTTCTGGAGTGAAGTCGTTCTTAATGTTAAATGTCTTTCTGATTTCCTCAGGAGTTTTACCTGATAGGAAAAAAAAAAACAGAAGGCAATGACCCAAGTGGTAAGTTGCATTAAAGCCACTTTCAAGCTTTGCCCTTTCACTCCAAGCAATGACATATAAACAATTTCTCCTAACAATTTCCATACGTGTTTCAACATAAAGGTTGTTAGAATGACTACAATTCTCCACAACTCAAGAAATAAATCATAGTCTTCCAATCAAAACTAAAAGAGTCATGGTTGAAATTTACAGAAGGAGCATGCAATTTTGTCAATAACATTTCCAGGTCTACACAAACAATGTTCACTTTGCCAGGGGTTAATAAAATGCCAATAAGAAAAAAAAAACAAAACATCTTAATCACATTTCAACAAAAAAGTGTTAGATCTACTTTACCTTTGATCATGTTTGCTACAGTTTTGCATGTGACATCTAGAAGACCTTTGATATCGAGGTAGTTTGCAGCCTGCAATGGGAAACATACATTCTAAATCACTACAGTCAAAGTTAATAAGAACACCATACACACCTCATATGTTTTTTTGGAATTTTTATGACCAATCAAAGTGAACTGAGGGCTACATACTACTGCCGCGTAAGTACTGTTATTACTTACAATTTAGTAAGGTATGCTCAATGAAAAAGAAACTGACAATTCTTGCTTAATTTATTTTAACCACAGAAACAGAATTCACTGTGATGTAGAAAAAGATGTTTATGGTGGTGATTCAAAACAAATTTTATTTCTTGTATCCAGTTGGCTTCTTCTTCTTCTTCTTTTCCAACGTGACATAACCAATCGGGTCTCTAACATGCTAACCATAATAGTAACCAGTGTCTTTAGTTAGCATTGGAGATCAGAGCATTTTTTGGCTATGAACCAGAAATCTGTGTTCACAATCTGTTGTGAAGAATATCCCCATTTCTCAGCACTACTTTGCCCGGGGTTTTAATAAAAGCCACTTCCTAGGGTTTACTGCTGCCTGTAAACACGGTTCATACCCTTTTTCAGCCACAAATTTCAAGAACCTTTTCTAGGACTTTTCCTGGACTTAGATTGATTTTTCCAGGACTCCAAATTTGAACTTACACCCTTAAATTCCCCAGATCTCAAATCAATTCTCCTTAGAGTCTAAAGCTTACTTCTTGGGCATTATGCATATCTGTGAGCTGTCTGTGTGTTTGATGAAGAGCTGCCTGTTGAGCACTTTATCCTTTGCTACTGTTTTCCGTGCAATAATAAAAATCGTTTTCTCAATACTGCAGATCAAGATCCTCCAAAAATTCTTCAAGTGACGTGATCCTTGATATTGGATCCTCAATACTGAATAGTTGAACCTCAAATCTTGATCCTCGATTCTAGATAGTTCCAACTACTGAGGATTGAGTATCAAGTCATGACTGTCAACTTACTTCTGAGCAATACTGATTTTACCAATGAATGTTGACTCTTACATACATACCACAATTACGCTACTCCATCCCCCCACCCTATCACTTAAATATAAGTTCATGTAGGAATCAAACTCGCCAGAATGAGCTCAAAAAGTGTTCCCTGGTCAACTTTGAGGAACTCCTGATCCCAAGGATCAATGTCATCTGTTCTCTTTTCTTTGTTTTCGTCATCGTCTGGTGGGGGTGGGTCATCTTTGTGATGTGTAGCCCACTGGATAACCTTCAAAATGACAAAAACTACTATTATAATTAACCTATTCACTTCCAAAATCTCATTAACTATGCTTACTGTCTACCATACAATCCTTACGATTTTTAGTTCGAACAATAGGGACCTTAAGCAGTGAGGACAGCAATGCCCTGGAAGACGTTAATTAAAAAATGAATTTCTACTTTCAATTAGAATTTCCAAAATGGCTGCATGCATTCACCCTCTCACATGGTGCCACACCTGAAACTCAACCTAATGTATAAAAGTAGCATTGAGTTCCAAATGGAAATTAAAATAATTTGCCGTTGCAGTTTCGGTTTGCAGACGATGCAAATTTTGGTGATTTCTCGTTGTTTTGCAAAGGATGGCTACGAAATGTACTAAGTTTTGAAACACAAGTGCTGACCTATTGTTCTACCAATCAGATCTTTTGTTTTTCCACGTCCCCATTGCTATCGCTGTCATAGTTTACTTAAGGTTACCGTGCACCTTCAGGGGTGTCTTGCATGCAAGCGATGTAGCGTATCCGGTTTAAACTTTAGATATCTAAACCCCTATATCAAATTAAAGCTTATAGGATTAGCTATCAGACTATACCAAAAATTTCGAAAAAAAATTAATTGTCAAATTTTTCACGACTTCTAAATGCGAGCGCCGAATAACCTTTTGAACGTTACATGTTAAAGCAAAGTTTGTTTTTTGCTTATTTAATGTGTTCCTCCATTTCCGGGGCCAAAGCGCTAAAAAAACGTGTCTGCGATTTGCCATATTCAATTTCAGTGAAAAGTTACAGAACATTTTTGAAATAAGATTAAAAAAATGTGGAGTGATCGTACAAAAATCGCTCTTGGAAAAAAAGTATCTAGAAATAAAAAATTCGGAGACTAGTTTTTGTTGTTTATGTGTAAAACTAGTTACTGTCAACATTTGAGAGCAATCAAACAAATTCCCTTGACTTGCAGCTCTTAAAAGGTGATTCAGGTGCTCGCATTTAGAAGTCGTGAAAAATTCAACAATTCATTTCTTTCAAAATTTTTGGTTTAGTCTGATAGCCAGTCCTATAAACTTTAATTTGATATAGGGGTTAAGATATCTACAGTTTAAACCGGACGCGAGACACCCCTGAAGGTGCTAGGTAACCTTGAGACCCCTAATTTGGTGTGGGATGAACTAACAATCCCTTAAATGATATTTTTCTTTATCACAAATAGAAATTCTGTCTTGATCACTCATGGGAGTTAAAGGATTATTTACTTGCAAAGACCATGATAATCTGAGTGCAAGACAAGCATTCTACATGTAATTATTAAACAATTTTGCTACACTGTCAGATTTACCTTCCTGAGGATGGCAGCATTTACGTTAGGAAGAGGGACAGGTTCATCATCATCTTCATCCATGCCAAGATCTGTGATGGAAATTAATATTATATTAAACCTTAACACTCTAACACCAGTATGCATATTCTCCATACTGTCCTCTATACAAATCCTAACTAAAGATACTGGCAAGGAGAATTTGCTTTACAATAAAGAGCTTTATTACATCCATTTTGAAATCACTGGTGTTCCCTGTAATCTGATTGGCTCTAATTGGTGTGATTTATTCACGAATCGCACCATTTTTTGCTCTAAATCGCATTTTATGCTTGACTGAGTTTTTGACACATGATGTCAAAGTCTTTCTGTTTTGCATACAAAATAAGATGTAAAAGCATTTCCGGTTCCGCTATTTATTTAAAAACCGGCTCAGTACTGCATCAGTAAAATATTTGAATTGACCAAGTCCTGTATTTGGGCGATTTCAAAATGGATGTAACAAAGTGGTAATTGAACCTTGTGTCGTGCAATTTTGGTCTGAAATCATACTTGT